GGAATAAGGCTGTTATCAAAACAACATTTGAACAAACAGAAGAGAATATTTAGGAGATGTGGAGATTTTAGCACTTCGTTAGGTATGTTTTCTATTCCCATTGCTTTCCTGAGTTTTGCCCGATTCACAGCAACACCTACTTCTTCCACCGTGATATCAAAATTCAAAAACATATTTGGCTGATAACGATCTTGACACATAATTTTTTCTAAGTCTCGTTTCAGTATATAAAGTCTCCATTGGATGACAATGTGTACTGCTGACAAATATGTACCTGTGCAAATAATACCTCACTTTTCATGACACTTTACACTTCAGACACAAAATCCTAATAAAGCCAACAAGTTTGATTTTTTCATCTTTTATTTCCAGGTTCTTTATGAAGCGCACACTGTAGACTCTACAGTGTAGAGTCTACAGTGTAGAGACTGCTGTGTCAGAGACAGACGCCCAGGACTCTGCTGTTGCTCCTGCTTCTCCTGCTGTTGCTCCTGCTCCTGCTGCTCCTCCTGTTGCTACTGCTGTTGCTCCTGCTCCTGCTGCTCCTTGTCTTCAGAGATGCAGAGCCTACTGTTCTAGCAAATTCATGACTAATGATAAAATAAAACATGAAAATGTGTTTGTTGTAGTTCATATTGTAAATCCGCAGTGAAGCTGGAGAAACGATGGCGTGTGATTTTGTTGCTGTCAGAGAAAGTCTGAGTTCCATTTCTCCAGTAGTCTCTGAAAAAGAACACAAACATCATATTAACACATGGACCCCAGAAAATAAAATACAGAAATCTGTCCTGTAGCTGACATATGTTCTTACCTTACCTTAGACTAGTTGATATGTACCTGTCTGGTCTTTGTCCGTGCGCTCTGTCATGCAAACGGAGCACAAACGCAACCTCTTCCACAGACTGTAAAGTTCCAAAACAGCTCCCGTTAGAAGCTACCAAACTCTTCCACGTGTTCCCTATTTAAATACAGTTATGTGACGTGTTACACTACAAAGTATAGTAACACAGAAATGTAACATGTCGATTTTCTCAGCGGATAAAAAGAGGTACTATATTGTGAGGCGTAATAATACAAGGAGCACTACGGCCGCGCACTAACTCTATTGAGTCACGCTGCTTCTATTGACGGAAGTTTTGTTTGTGCTAAGCCCCCACAATCCAATGTCTCATTAGATAAGAAAAAAGCATTATTGGCATTACAAAAGGATGAGAGTATAACTATTTTACCAGCTGACAAAGGCAGATGCACAGTTATCCTCAACAGCTCAGACTATGAAGCCTAAAGTTAATCAGTTACTCTTGGACACCAACACGTACCAGCCATTGAAGAGGGACCCTACCAGTGGGTTTAGGAAAAAGATTATAGACTTCCTTCAGAGTTTATTGAAAGAGGGCATTATTGAAAAACCACTATATTACAAACTTTACCCAGGAAACACCATTCCCAGTATTTATGGACTCCCAAAAATACACAAACAAAACTTTCCACTTCGGCCTATTATACGTAGCACAGACTCTATCACCTACAACCTGGCTAAACATGTCAAAACCATTCTGGCTCCTTTGGTGGGTAACACCCACCATCACATAGAAAACACAAAAGAATTAGTAAATAAAATCAAACACCTCCAGTTTGACACAGATGAGACAATGGTCTCGTTTGATGTGACATCACTTTTTATGTCGATCCCTATTACAGAGGCGGTGGAGGCTGTAAGAGAAAGCCTACAGAAAGACGCCACACTAGGGGAGAGAACTAAACTAACAGCTGACCACATCTGTGAAATACTGGAAATGTGTCTTAACACCATGTATTTCCAATTTAGAGGCACCTTCTTTAGACAGATTCATGGCTGTGCGATGGGCTCCCCAGTCTCTCCTATAGTGGCCAATCTGTATATGGAGAAACTGGAGGAACAAGCCCTGGGCTCTTACCAAGGGACAGCGCCAAGCCATTGGTTTCGATCATAGACTGTATATATTAATGGACAGAGTCACGCCTATCTCCGCCGTTCATAGGAGTTGGCCATGAAAAGTGCTTTCATGGAGCAATCCAAGATGGCCGCGAGTGGTCCCGCCCACAAGAAAATTGTGAAAAAACGCATCTGCGCATGTGTCAGCTGGCGCAGCTCCATTCATTTGAACGAGAGACTTCAAAAATTCCCCGCGAGTAAACTAGAGTGGACCAAAAAAAATCACCCCCTCAGCATTGACACACATGTGGAACGGAGCTTTGGGCCAAGAGCCAACTTTTGGTCCATCCTGTAAAGACGTTTTTGAGAGGTCTGCTAACGCTATATTTTAGCATTGGCTAATTCTTCTTCTGGGTCCACCCCCAACGGCCCGGGGTGGTATTGCAAGCTTGTCAGCGCACGTCATTTTGGCCACTTTTGAGCTGGGACCATCCCCCACTGGTTTTGATATGTAGACGATACATGGGTTAAGTTAAAGAAACAGGAAGTGGAACCATTTTCAGAACACATTAAATCGGTAAACCCTTTTATAAATTTCACTCGCGAGGATGCTAAGGAGAGTGAACTGGCCTTTCTAGATTGTAAGGTCATCATACTGGAGAACGGACAATTAGAGACTGAGGTCTTCAGAAAGTCCACTCACACTGACCAGTACCTGGCCTTTGATTCAAATCATCCGCTACAACACAAACTCGGGGTCATTAGAACGCTTCAACACCGAGCCCACCAGGTCCCCACAAGCTCGGAGGGAACGAACAGAGAAACCAAACATGTTCAGAGAGCACTTTCCAGATGTGGCTACCCCAAGCGGTCTTTTACTAAAGCCCAAAGGACGAGAAAGGCCAGAGACACAATCCTACAGACAGAAGAAAGTAGGAGGAGAGGGGTGTCCTTACCGTATGTGGCGGGAGTTTCAGAGAAACTACAAAGAATCTTTAGGCAACACAAAATCCCTGTGTATTTCAAACCTTTCAACACGTTAAGACAGAAATTAGTGCATCCTAAAGACAAAACACCCAGACACAAACAGAGCAATGTGGTGTATTCAATTAAATGTAGTGAAGAGGAGTGCACTGACCACTATACTGGAGAAACCAAACAAACTCTACAGAAACGACTTTACCAACATCGTAGAGAAAACTCTAGTGGGCCACAGTCGGCTGTTCATCTCCACCTCAAGGCCTCCAACCACACGGTGGATGACACAGAGGTTAAAATTCTGGCTTGGGAGAAGAATTGGTTTGAGAGAGGGGTGAAAGAAGCCATTTTTGTGAGGAAACAAAAACCTTCTCTTAACAGAGGAGGAGGGTTAAGATTTGTTTTGCCTCGCATCTATGACGACATCCTAAAAACAACGCCCTAACTTGGGACAAGGTCAGTGACATGCTAATGAGTTAGGAGGGGTGAGACCTGCACTCCACTTGAGCATCCCAGCAGACAATAGGTCTGTGACATGCTAAGGAGTTAGGGTCGTTAGCCTCAGCAGGGTCCTTAGACCTGCTCCCTTCTACATCAAGCAGACCTTAGATTGTTTATGAGTTAGGATTAGGGTGTGGCTAACCACACCCATAGGTTATAAATCTCCAACGCGCGGTCTGAGAATTCATTCAAGTCCTTTGGATTGAGGACGAAACGTCGGGAAAACTTGTTAAGAAGTACAGATGATGGACCTTCCTTTGCATCATTCTATACATATATTTATAAAACTATTGTATGAAGTGCTTCATAATAAGCCAAATATATACAGTAAATGTACATAAATATACTGTATTCCCAGTCTCAGTATGGGATTAAAAACGATATACACAATCTATTTAATATGGATACAGATAACAGTGTTAGCATACTACATGTTAGAATACTACAGCTGCTGTCTCCATGGACTGTTTCCTCTGTGAAGCTATGTAATCTGTGTGTTTGTTTCTTCCTGTGACATTACAGATATTGTTCAGGGAAGTATTAACTTACCTGAGACACCAACCTCCTCACTAGCCCTCCTTCCGTGTCACAGTAGTTTACTCCGCGGAGCTAACAGCACAGCTTGTCCTCCATAGCTGATGTGTTATCTTCCCCCTCGGTCCTCCTGACGTCACTGTTGCCGAAAGCTCCTGATTGGTCGACGCTCGTGTCTTCTCCCAAAAAGTTCAACAATGTTCAACTCTAGCGTGACGCGCGTCAAAACGCTTAACGCGGCGCGGTATCTCTCGACGCTCCTCGAAGCGCGACCCCCATGTATTTTCAATGTAAACCCGACGCTTTGGACGCTCAAAACGCGTTTGGTCTGAACGCACCCTTGGTTTGAAAAAAATTGTTTTTGCAAAAGGGAGCTATTTTTCTATCGTCAAAAATGGGGAAAAAAGGTCACATTTTGCCGCTCCACTGCTCAAACAACGTTTTACTGATCAAAATTCCCTCATTTTGATGGTACATGTGTTTAGATGATGTGGAGTGATTTTCAGCCAAATCTTTGGCTGGTTTGATGTTTGTGCAAACTGTACATTTGCCATAGACACAGAATGGGGAGGCACGGCAACAGGGTAAAAAATAAGCCTTGGGTCTCGTTGACTTTTTAAATCAAGAGGGCAAAACAGATTTATGTGAAAAATTTCAAACATTTTGAAAAAACTAAATGTGAAAATTGTAGCCAGGTTGTAGCCATGCTACAACACCAAAAGGAGTGTTTAATCCACGATATATAGTTAAGTGAGCACTGGCTTTAGGTTCGAGTTTGTAACAAAGGTTGAAACTAGATACAGAGGTGTGCCAAATTTATATATTGTACTTATAGTTCAGAAGCAGCAGTTCGCCAGACCTGGGTCTGTACAAGCAGACTCCGAGACCAGACAAACAACAGACACCCAAACCTCAGCTACAATACAGCTGATTCAATGTGTTAGAGTGTGTGTTTACACAGTTAGTTGGTTGTAGACTAATACGTGGATTCTCAAAAGTAATGCGTGCAGAGAGCGACAAAGTAGTCAGTCAAAATACACTCACCGGATACGGACAACAGACTCCCAGAGCATCAAGACTTGATATTAACTATTAACCTGAATGAGACAAAAAATAAAACACTATCTTTTGCTTGTTGTTGGTAACCTGTGTGTGCTTGAAAAAGAAAGAAATAAAGAACTCTAAACAAGCAATCATATTGGATATTACTGATTTGATCTTACCGCAAGTTGAACACGAAGAAGTAAAAGGATTGCTTCCTTGTGCTGAAAGAAATTTTTTGAAGGCGTAAGATATTGTCACAACTTGTCAACACAAGTTGTGCTGCCAGCAAAGAATGTTCCTCAATAAAAAAAAAAACAATGTCGCCCAAACAAGATTATCAATGACTAATATTGTCTAATCTCAACCATTTGAACTTGTGTCTATAGATTCCCTCAGGTTGACAAACCATGAACTTTTGCACATGTACCATGAACATAAAGATAGATTTCTTTAATTGAAAGTTGACACACGAGGAACAGACAACTGTAAAGTGAAAGTAAAATGATTCATGATTCTGTTATTATTTTAAAATAGTGAAAAGTAGGGCATGCAAAAGTATTCAAACAGCTTTAATCCGAGTGCATTAAATTGACTTTCAAACATTTATAATGACTAATGTTCGCAGCTTTCCCTAATGATTAAACAGAGGCCTCCTGTGTGTAATATACTCTCAATATAAATACTGTATCATATGAATCAACAGGACCTACAGAGCGGCTTATTCACAATTAGTTTGGCTACTGCAGAATATGTTCCATGTGTTGTGGTTTGGCTCCCCCGTGTGGTTTTGTGTTTTTTTTCAGGCACGGCTCCTGTTGGGTGTGGTCTTCGAGCAGGCACAGCTGTCTTCAGTTCCCTCATCACCACAGTATTAAGTCTCCAAGCTGATCTCCACTCATCGTCAGATTGTTCCGTCTTCCACCGTGGTGACTAGGCTGTTTTACGTTACCTGTGAGGATTTTACTTTGTGACTTATTTTCTGATTTTTGACTTTTTTATGTTCCTAGATCCACTGCCTGCTCGAGCCCCCCACTGGACCAAGCCTTGCCATGTTTCCCTTTAGCCAAGCCTGCTGCACTTTTGGTTAATAAATATTTTTTACTCCCCTTTTTGGTGTCTGCTTTGAGGTCCTCTCACCTTCCTAAACACTATCAATCAATCAATCAATCAATCTTTATTTATAGGGCGCTTTTCCTGCACAGGGCAACACAAAGCGCCTCACAGTCCACACCACACAATGCACAAATCATCACCATTAAAATACAATTAAAAACACATATGTAATTAAAAAGCATTAAAATCACATAAGTAATTTAAAAACATAAGAATCACACAAGTAATTAAAAACAATAAAATAGTTAAAAACACAAAAAGTTACAACAATAAATAACAAGGTGTGTTAAAAAGATAAAATTCTCTAGTTGTATGCACAGGAAAAAAGAAAAGTCTTTAACATGGATTTGAACATTGACAGAGAGGCAGCCAGTCTCACATACTCAGGAAGACTGTTCCAGACTTTAGCTGCATAGATCTGAAAAGCAGCCTCCCCCTGTCTAGTCCTGACTCTGGGCACTAACAAGAGTCCCGTCCCTGCGCTCCTCAGAGTCCGGGCTGGTTCATATGGGACTAGCATATCATGGATGTACTTTGGTGCAAGGCCATGGAGAGACTTGTACACCAGGAGAGCTGCTTTAAAGTCTATCCTCTGGGCCACGGGAAGCCAGTGCAGAGACCTGAGGACCGGACTAATGTGGTCGTACTTCCTGGTTCTAGTCAGGACTCGGGCTGCAGCATTTTGAATATACTGCAGCTGTTTTACTGCATGTTTGGAGATACCTGTGAGCAGGCCATTGCAGTAATCCAGCCTACTGGAAACAAAAGAATGGATGAGAATCTCCAAGTCTGCCCTGGACACAATATTTTTAATTTTGGCAATATTTTTCAGATGATAAAAAGCTGCTGATGTTACCGATCCAATGTGGCTATTGAAGTTTAAGTCAGAGTCCATTATTACTCCCAGATTTCTGACCTTATTTAAAGGCCTTAGGGAGAGAGACTGAAGGTGACAAATGACGGTCTCTCTTTGTTTCTCGGGACCAAAGACAATCATTTCGGTTTTGTCCGCATTTAGCTGGAGAAAATTGCATTGCATCCACTCACAGATCCGCTGGATACAGTGAAGGAGTGAGTCCACCGGTCCATGCTCTCCTGCAGTCAGTGAGACATAGATCTGAGTGTCATCAGCGTAATTGTGGTAGGACACTTTCATACTTTGAATTAACTGACCTAATGGCAGCATGTAAATATTGAACAGAAGAGGTCCCAGAATCGACCCCTGTGGCACTCCGCAGGTCAGGGCCATATTATCTGAGACATAGTCTCCAATCTCCACACAATACTTCCTTTCTTCTAGATAGGACCTAAACCAGCTTAGGGCAGTACCAGCAACACCAACCCAGTCCTCCAGTCTCTGCATGAGAATCTCATGGTCAACGGTGTCGAAAGCGGCACTCAGATCTAACATGACTAAAACAGAGACTTTTCCTGCATCAGTGTTAAGCCGAATATCATTTGTTACCTTGACTAGAGCGGTCTCAGTACTGTGGTGTGGTCTAAAGCCAGACTGAAACATGTCAAATGAGTCATTAGATATTAAAAATTCAGTAAGTTGTTGGTAGGCAACTTTTTCAAGAATTTTTCCCGCACTATGCCCGCATTGTTTGCTCATACAAAACCCAAAAGTTTAAAAAGCACATTTCAGAGTGCCTTACCTTAGTTATTAAAGAACTGCACAGACCACTTCAGTTCAGACCAGTTTAAGTCCAGATAATAGTTTGAGCGTAGATATGTAATCCTCCATTTTGGAAATAAGTCCAAAGAGTTTTAAAGAGTAAAACAAATGTCAAGACCAGCTTTGAAAACGAACAACAGCTTCTCTTTTTTTATTATTTTTTTATTATTACTAATAAGCATGCATTAAGTCCTTAACCAGCCAAAGAGTTCCACCTGTTTATTTAATTCCATTTTTGACATATGATTTGTTTTGTTTTGTTGAAGTCATAAAAACTGATTTAAATTAGGACTAAAAAGTGCTCAACAGAATCCACCCAAATGGTGTCCCTTATTTTTCTGTTGTCGAGTTGGCAACCCTACTTGCTAACCACAGGGTCCTCAGTTCAATCTGCATTTCAAAAGTATGGTGTCTCTTTAGTATGGAATAACATTATATGCTAAAAATGAATTAAATACTGGATGAAATACTGGTGATTTTGTTAGTGGAGACTGGACACACCTGATTTAAAAAAAAAATGTTTTTTTAATAATATATATATATATATATATATATATATATATATATATATATATATATATATATATATATATATATATATATATATATATATATATATATATATATATATATATATATATATATGATCCAACACATAACTGCAGGGTGCAAGATGCTGGCAGGGAAGGCCTACATGGAACGCCATAACCAAGTGGCTGGCATAGTGTACAGAAACATCTGTGCAGAGTATGGGCTGGAAACCCCAAGGTCTAAGTGGGAAACTCCTCCAAAGGTGGTGGAGAATGAGCGTGCAAAGATCCTGTGGGACTTCCAGATACAGACCGACCGAATGGTAATGAACCAACCTGACATCGTGGTGGTGGACAAAGGGCAGAGGACAGCCGTGGTGGTGGACGTGGCAATTCCAAGCGATGGTAACATCCGGAAAAAAGAACATGAAAAGCTCGATAAATACCAAGGTCTCAGAGAGGAGCTGGAGAGGGCCTGGAGGGTAAAGGTGACAGTAGTGCCCGTGGTGATCGGTGCACTCGGGGCAGTGACCCCGAAGCTAGAAGAGTGGTTACAGCGGATCCCCGGAACAACCTCGGACATCTCGGTCCAGAAATGTGCAGTGCTAGGAACAGAAAAGATACTGCGCAGAACCCTCAAGCTCCCAGGCCTCTGGTAGAGGACCCGAGCTCAGAGAGGGATAACCGCCCGCGGGGGACGAAAGGTGTGTGTGTTTATTATATGACTTGGACCGTACGCGCGCTCTGATTGGCTGATTTGTGGTCTGATATTTTCCCATCTTGGACCGTTACCATGACATTCCTCGGTAAAAAATAAATAATGGGCGACGACTGGGAGCATTCTCCCAGTGAATTCTATTATCCGGACGAGTTCGAAGAGCCAGAGGAAGTAATTACAGAAACTAACGACAAAAACAGTCAAGAAGAGATTGACAACTTCGTTGACAGTTTGGTTGCATGTGTGTTTTCTAGTTGAAACCGATCGATATTTGCATAAATTAAAAATAGTCACATAATAACACATTTATGTACCTCGCTTGCTCGGTTAATAAGCCGTTAATACGTATATAAAATTGTCCACTCACCTTTGGCCCTCTGCGGGCGGTTATCCCTCTCTAAGCTCGGGTCCTCTACCAGAGGCCTGGGAGCTTGAGGGTTCTGCGCAGTATCTTTGCTGTTCCTAGCACTGCACATTTCTGGACCGAGATGTCCGAGGTTGTTCCAGGTATTATTATTTGATTGAAATACATTATTTTTATGATTTAGATTAGAATTAAGATTATTTGGTATATTTTTGTAACCAATTTAGTTAACTATTTTGTTTATCATTATTGCTAAATTGAATCATGAATTCATTTTGATCTTGGGGTCCCCATAGGATCGAGTGTCTTGGCGCCGTGACAGCCCGCCGTCCCCACTTGGTCTTCGGTCCGTCGGGGGAAAAACTGGGTGGCCGCTGCCTTGGTGCTGGGGTAGGAAGGTGTACCCGATGGCTATTTGCAGTCCAAGTTGAAGAGGATGCAGAGGGAGGCTGCTGGCTGTGTTGAGACAGTGAGGACCTCAGCCTTTGGAGTTCAGCAAGCATGGTTTCCTCCCTCCTCTGTTGACCTTGCAGGAAGCTGCGCATAACGCCCAATAGTTCCTCACCCACTCCTGCAGACACTGGCTGGCCTTGGGTAGAGGGACCAGGGTTGCAATCCTCCTCGTCTGTATCCCAAGACAGGTTAGCATCTTCCTCTTTTGGAAGGGACATTTTTGTCGTCTGCGAACGCAGTCCAGTTCGCTTGCCTGGAAATTATATAAAATATATTATATAAAAATGTAACTTGAGATAATTTTTCTATATATATTTGGAGAAAGTAATTTAAAAGTAATGCAGTAGCAGTGTAATGCATTACAATTCAGATACAGTTATATTGTAGTGTAATACATTATTTTGAAATAACAGTAATAAGTTAAACATAATTACGTTTTTGAAGTAACTTGCCCAACACTGATCAACAGCAGCTCCTTTAGGCTGTTTCTTACATAAAAGTGGAAAGAGAAGCCGCGGGAATGAGCTGCCAATATGCACATTTTAAAGGTTTGTGACTACATTTACAGCCCTCTACAAGTGTGCAAGGGGCGCCATACTACATTTTCGCCTGGGGGGCCTGATGACCCAAAGCCATTTTAATGGCGTCACTCCTTTTATTGTGCGATTAACTCAAGTATGTGTTATGCTCAAGGCTTCTACCACGGGCACATAGCTGATAACAGCCCCTACATGTGCTGCTGCCTCCTACACTTGCTGCAGTCCGTGGGCCGGCCGATGTTATGTGATGCTATCATATGACGATTCATCGCAATACAATATTTCAATCATTTGACAGCACTCATTTTGGATTCTTATTTGATCATTAAAATACAATGTGGACAAACATTGTACAGTTAACATTTTTCCATATTCTGGTGAGTACAATGGACTTCCTATTTGTTGTGGGAGTGTGGCCATAATGCCTTCACATGAAGAGTATGTACCACTTCACCTTGGATAGACCCATGAGGAAAATGCCGTTAGACTTATTAGATTTAAGCATGTTTATAGATTAAGCATGTTTGGCGCCCTAGGCCCGGGAGGGATGCTGTTGAGCACGGCGCTTGCTCGCGTGCATAATCCCCCCCGGGGCCTAGGCACTGGTGACGGCAGAGGCAGTAGGCAAGCACGCTTCCGGGAGGGATGCTGTTGAGCATGGCGCTTGCTCGCGTGCATAATCCCCAAAAAAGCGGGCCTGCGATTGGGATAGCAGGACGCACTGCGCGGGCCTGAGAGCATGAGTGAGAGGCTTCTCGCACGGTCGCTCAGCCAGGCTGCGTCCGCTGGGGCCCGTGTTTGTTTAGGCAGAGCGAGCAGGGGAATCTTTGAGCGAGCTGAGAACATGCGCGCACGCGCATGTTCAGCCAGACGCTGCAGCAGGGGAATCTTTGAGCGTTTGAGGAAAGTGCGTGCCGCCACCAGAATCTTATTGCTTACTTGCTTTGCATTGCTTTGCTGGGAGCTTACAAGGAAGCCAGTTGACGTTGTGCTGCCAGGATAGCGGTCGGAGGACCGGACGATATCGTCGTAAAAGAACGAAACGCCATTCCAGCGGTCCAGCAGGCGCGACCAGAAGTTCAGATTGGAGCGGCACCCGTCGTCTAGGGTGACCGTGTCGTGCAGGGAGGGGACCGAACCTGCGAGGGTGAGAAGACGCTATATGAAAGAGCGGCCTTGGGGAACAATGCGGATGGCATAATTGAGGTGCCCGAGCAGGGAGAGCAGCTCACGTTTTGTGATGAAGGGAGAGGACAGGGCAGACTGCGACAGCGGGAGGGAGGACACCATGGCGCGCGTGTCGAGGCGGATACCGAGAAACTCCAGGGCGGTGGCAGGGCCCACAGTCTTCTCCTCGGACAGGGGGACCCCGAAGGCCGAGAAGGCCGATTTCAGCCTGCGGAGCGAGTCCCCGGAGCCGTCCGCGGGGGGATCGACGAGGAGAAAGTCATCTAGGAGATGGAGGACAGAGGGGAGCCGGACATTGTTTAACAGAATCCAGCACAAGGCCTCAGAAAGATTATTAAATAAGGAAGGACTGCTCCTGCAGCCAAACGTGAGGCGCGCAGCAAAATAAAAACTGGAGCGCCACTTTACCCCAAACAGGTGCCAGTGATCGGGGTGAATGGGCAGCAGCTTGAAGGCGTCCGTGATGTCCGCCTTTGACAGCCAGGACCCAGGGCCGAAGGCCTTCACCAGCCGGATTGCGTGATCCACGGTGGAGTACTGCAGGGAGAAAGACTCAAGAGGGATGAGACTGTTAATGCTCGGGACGGGCCCGGAGCGGGGGTGGGATAAGTCAAAAATAAGGCGCTTCTTCCCGGAATATTTACGCGTGGCAACCCCCAGCGGGCTGGAGCGAAACGAGGAAAAGGGGGCTTGGAAAAGGGGCCGATGATGTAGCCCTTGGACACCTCCCGCGCAATGAGCCGCGTGACAACGAGGGGCTCGCGGAGAGCGGATTGCAGGTTGCGGGACACGTAGGACGCCGAGGGGAGAGCCGCCACGCCAACATGGAAGCCCCGGGCCAGGCCTGTCAGCAGGAAATCAACGAAGGCCCGATCAGGATGGAGCTTGAGCGCGTGGGCCAGCACGGGCACGGAGACAGGGGTTGAGAGGTGGGTGGTGATCAAGGCCTGTACGAAGGCCCCCCGGAACGGCGGTCCTGCCAGGGCGACGCGGGCATACGGAACGTGGATGGGCCTCCCTGCACAGACTACAAATGTGGAGGTAAGCGCACGATGGAAAACTGCACACGCTGGCGTTGAAAGAGCGGCACACGGGGTTTTGATGATGTACCTCCTCTTTGGGGAACGAAGGCGCGCGGGGCCTAGGAGCCTGACTAGCGGCGGTGTCGAACGGGGCAGAGGGGAGAGCTGTGCCCGGCAGCGCCGCACCGGGAGCAGGAGACCACGGGGGCACCGCCAACGGACAGCAGCAAAACCTCGGTGTCCATGACCGCCCAGTCCACTCTGACATTCGCCTGGGAGACGAGGGCCGCGGCCTTGGCGGCGAAGGCCCGATGGTAACGGTAGAAAACGCTACCGCCGTAGCGGAGGGCCAGGTCCCCCATCAGGCCCAGATAGGCGTCCAGCTCGGGCCTGCGCTCGGGGTATACGGAGCAGAGAACGTCGCGGTATACGCCGAAGGCCACGAGGAACTCCCCGATGGACAACTCCCGCGACAGGCGGGGATCAGCAGCCTTAACGACCGCGGTGACCAGGGAGGAGGCCGCCACCTGCCTGTCACACTCGGGGGAGGGGAGGATGAGGGAAACCAAGTTTATATAGCGTCCTAGCAGAATCTTGGTCCGCAGGCGCGGGGAGACGTTGGAATAGGCATTTATGAAAGGCCTACCCGACGCAGCAGTAGCCACGGCAGTGGAGAGGGAGAAGCCGATATCCGGGGAGCCGCCGGGAGGCGCAGCGGCAGGAGCAGCCACCGGAGCCACGGCGGGGGTGGGAGGTTGGGACTCGACAGCGCGGAGCCGGCCGGACACCGCGGACATCGAGCGCTGGAGAGATGAAACCGCCGACAGGATGGCGTCCGTGCGCGCGCAGAGGAAGTCACGATCCTGGGCCGCAGCTGCCACGTGGGCCGCGAAGACTGCAGCGGAAGGATCCGGCTGGGGAGGAGGCAAACCGGGAACCGCAGGTGCGGCCTGGGGAACGTCGATGAGGCGAGGCGCTGGGGCGGGCACGGGGCAGGCCGACGAAGCCGGGGGAAGCAGGGGCCCGTCGAGCACAGAGGAGGGGGGGCAGGCGCGCGTTGGCTGCAGGTGCTTGGCCTTGCGACGGCGCTTGTGAGGAGGGGAGTCCGGAGCCGGGGAGGGGGAGGCGGAATCCGCCGACAGCTGCTCCACGAGGCGCTGGAGCTGCAGTGGGGTTGCACCCGGACCTGGCACAACGCCGCGGGCCGCGAGGAAGGTGCGGACGGACCCAGCATCCTGGGACGCCAGGCGCGCGCTCTTCCGGGACCGGTCGGGCACAGGCGAGGGGGGAACGAACAAGTCGTTTAGGGAGCTAGGCGTCGAGCCCGAAACAGACGGGGACGCACGAGCACGGGGCGAAGAATGCATGGTGGATAGATGCGTTTCAGCTGACATACACTTGCAGACTTCAGAAGGCCGGGAAGTGGGCGTCTCCGGCTTTTAACTTGCTGTCCTGGTGGTTATTGGTTGACTGGATGTGGGCGTTGCTGGTATTGATGAGTCGAGGAAGAGCAGTCTGGGGCCTGGGCAGCAGCAGCCGGGTCTACCACAGTGAACTTTCGCGAAAGCTCCATTTTTCTGCTTAGTAGGTGTTGCACAAATGTTTCCGTACATATAATCTAGAAAGTGTTTGATTGAACAAAACTTGTGTTGACAATTCAAAATTAAAATCCAAGAGCAAAAAAAAAAACAAATCCATTTAGAGATTGCTGTCCAATAGTATGAAAAGCAATATCTAAGTTCAAATACTGTTTAGTTCAAATACAGTATATGAACTTTCTGTTGCTCAGGGGGTGTGACATCGGTCTATAAAAAGATGCAGATGACAAATGTCCGTAAAACTAACTATAAATGTCCCTAAATAGACTGATTATAAATAACACATCATATTCCTTCTTTGAGAATCTCTGTATGAAGTTCAGTGTGTTGAGGAATGGTCCTCGTCTGAATTGTACATTTGAAAGACACGAGGATCACTTAACTGTATGTTTGTTATACTGCTGTCTCCATGACAACGGCAACGCTCCTCGTCTCCCACCTGCTCCTCTTCATCCCCTCTTCATCAGCGGCGCACTGGCAGCAAAAGTCTGTTCATTAAACGATTAAACTCTGGGTATTCAGACAGTGCAGGGGAAGTTCAGAGAGAGAGACTAGAGAGACCGCAGAGAGACCAGAGAGAAAGACACGAGAGACCAGAGAGAAAGACCAGAGAGAGACCACAGAGAGAGAGACCAGAGAGAAAGACCAGAGAGAGACCACAGAGAGAGAGACCAGAGAGAAAGACAAGAGAGACCAGAGAGAAAGACCAGAGAGAGACCACAGAGAGAGAGACCAGAGAGAAAGACAAGAGAGACCAGAGAGAAAGACCAGAGAGAGACCACAGAGAGACCAGAGAGGGAATCTGTCAAATGTATGCAGATGTCACAATCATTCATGTGGCAGTAGACGCCTCTCAACAGGCCTCAGAAAAATGCGTGTACCAAATTTGAGCCATTGATCGATAAGAGACAGATGACCAATGTCCGAACATAAATGTCCTTAATAGACTAATTATGAGTAACGCAATTTATCATTTTAATAATTCATATGTGGCTAGATATATTGCATACTGAAATAGATTCATTTCTGGCTCCAGGAAGTCTAGACTTAGGGGGTTCAGATGCTCCCAGGCTTGGCTCTTTGGCTCTTTGATATTTGACCACAGTTACAGTAAATATCAGCATGAACATCTCTCATCCCAGCACTAACCAGCCCCTGCCCTGCACAGCTTCAGAGGTCTGACGGGATCTGGCTTTTGTATGCAAGTATGGCCACAAATAGGTAAAGTAGGGTTAAGTGTCTTGCCCAAGAACCCCACGACAGCAGACAACGGTGGGAGTCGGTGGAGAAAGTCTTGTGGTGGACTCAAACCCACGACCTTCAGACTCAAAGGCCATTGCTCTACCAACTAACTGTGTTGTTGTTGTTTTCTCCCCTCTTTCTTAAACTTGTTTCAATCATTTCTTCACTGATCTTCCTTCTAGCCTTTGCCTAGAAGTCCTATGTACTTGACATCGGTTACCTAATTAATAAAACAGAGAGACTTGAGAGAGACCAGAGAAAGACCAGAAAGAGACCATAGAGAGAGAGATAGGGAGAGTAACTAGAGAGAGTAGAGAGCTAATAGAGAGATGGATTGATTTTCCACAGACATGTTGTTCATAATCTACAAAATACTGAAAGACATTCTGAAGAAGTCCATTTGACAGTGGTCCGCAGGTGTTACATGTCTCCAAAGACTGGAGTGTGTTTGATAATGAGTGGAATTTCCTGCTGAAGTATTCTGGAGTGACACGTGATCACAGCGTCCAGAGAGAGATCAAAATAACCAGGGGAAGTGCCAGGGGTGAGGGAGGGGGGGTGGGGGTGAGTTTGGGTCGTGGGTGAGGGGGGGAGGCAAGCTGCACTGCCAAAAAGATCTCATGAACGGTAAGGCAATTCACAAAAACCAAAACACCCCACACTGCGCTCTAGATCGTTGGTCGCATGTGGCCCAGGGGAAGAAGGTTCTAGAACTACGCAGAAGTCACACCAGGGACAATACTTTGCATAATGACAGAGAAACGAGCCGTGGAGCTGTGTTTGGGTGAGTGAAGCTTACTGTCAGAGCTTGGGCTGTTGCACATGCTGCTCTTTCCTTTATAAAGTTGTCCTTGTTTCTCTCTGGTCTTCCTCGGGTCTCTCTCACTGGTCTCTCTTTCCCTGATCTCCCTCTCTGATCTCTCCTTCTGGTCTCTTTCTAGTCTCTCTCTGGTGTGACGTCACCATAGTGGCATCCTTAATTCAGAAAAGGTCGATTTGAAAGTAAGCTGGAGCCATTTTCCTTATATGGACATTTCTTCCGATGGTGGAAGCTTCGTCCCGTAACAGGGGCAGATGTGTTGCTAAGACGGTTGGTTTCCCTGCGAATGAAGGCATCTGATGGGTCAGTTATGATATGGCTCATATCTGGATTTACCCAAACAAAATATACTGTAAATATAAACACAAAGATTTTTCATTTCATTTATTTATTTGTTTGAGCAGTTAACCTGCTCAAAGGGAGTGGGCTGAAGCCAAAGGCTTATAAGTGCCCACCCCAAAATAAAAATAATAACATTACATTTCATATTTACAAGGTAGCAAATCATAAACAAAGGAACATAGGGCAAAGTAACAATAAATGATGAACCAGAACAAAATAAAAACAACAGCAAAATAAAGAACAAAAGAATATGCTACTTTTATGTTATAAAGGTGCAATAATACATATTATACTCTGAGATTACCATCCTTAATATAATTTAATTTGGGTTTAATTATCATTATTATTATATTTGTTTAATTGAGTTATATGTGAAGTATGATGTAAGCCCTGCATAGTGTGGTGCATTAAAAAGCCAGGTGTAGAACGGGCCAGTTGAAGAGGGCAGTAACTCCCCCTCAACAAACCCCCACCCAGCTGCCCTAACAGCTGATTTTGTAGATGATGTTCCTATGCTGAGTGGTGCATTAAAAGACAAGGTTTTGAGCCCGTTGGAAGGGTCCCTCTCAACAGCTTCATAACCTAGAATGACAACCGTTCCAAGCAGCAACACTCTTCCTTGATTATAGAGGAAACACACATAATTGATCCTACTGCGCCTCTAGTGGCAACACATTTCTTGTTCTCTGTATATTTCAAAAGTCTTTTGTTTGTATTTATATTTGAACAGGTTGATATTTGGACTTCGTGTCAACTTCATTTCCAGTTTATTCCACAATTGTACACCATTAACTGTTGGGCTAAAACTTTTCAAAGTTGAGCTATGTTTCTGAGTCCTAAAGTTTAATTCGTCACGTAATTCATAACAACCAGTACGTTCTTGGAACCTTCTTTGTAGATGACCATGAATGTGATACGAGCGGTTATATGAGGACTTCCCTGTTGGGCTGCATTGTTATTTCTTATTTGTATTTAATTTAAGCTTTATTTAAAAACCCCATTGAGATTAAAAACCTCTTTTTTAAGGGAGTCCAGGCCAAGGGGCAGCAAAGTTAGCCAGCGGAGTGAGCATTGTCTGTCTGTATACAGTCTATATATCCAACTCAATTCAATTTATTTTTGTATCGCCCTAAATCACAGCAGTAGTTGTCTCGGGGGCCTTTACAAAGTTGTCAATTCGCCAACACAGATCAGAGAATCAAACAGATCCAACACAGGAAATGCAAAGCTGTGTGCTTAATAACCTGACATATTCCTGCTCAATAAAACAAACATTTTAGATCCTGTAGAAGACATGGTCGTCGCTCTGTGTGTGTGCATGTTGTGTGTTGTGTGTGTGGTGTGGTTCTCCTCGCCTCAGTCTTTCTACTGAAGGTGACTTTGAGAGTGGATGTATCTGGGACAGAGTGGGACCCCTGCACTCCCCTCTCTCTGGGGCTGTCCTGCTTTTCAAATGGGGTAAAAGCAGCTCCTCTGACAGCAGCTCAGGCAGAGACACAAAACTGTATGAATGAGAGCAACGCAACACAAGAAGACGCACAAATGAGAAACTGTGTTATGTGCCATCTTGAATTTGATCATGCATAACATCATTTTGATTTTTTAAGTTGAAGTTCAATCCATGTTACCATTGTTGCTATTTGAGAATCTGTATAATGTGTCTCTTTGGACATAGTCACAGTTGTAAAAGGAGTTAGGCAGGAAAACGTCTTGACTTCAGACAAAATCCTAATATACATGTTTAAAAATGTATAGATTTTTGAGCACATGTGACCTAATATTCATAATGGGAAAAAAGAGATAGATGATGATGACAAGATTGTTTTTGTGCAAATTGCTCATTTATTCTTCTATAATTTAGATAGATATTTAAATTATTATAAATATATAAACTATTATTTTTTAAGTTCAGATTCAGATTCATTTATTTGCCATTTGCAGTAAAACCACATTGGAAAACATTTGCAAAAAACCCCAGTGTGCACAAGACAATTACATAAATAAAACAAGGTTAAAAGTACTGATTTTTTTTTGTCTTTAGATTTTAATTCTAAATTGGATTGTACCAAAGTTGGACAAAGACTAAAGATAGCTGGATATAGATAGATAGATAGATACTTTATTGATCCCCCATAGGAAAAATTCAGGTGTCCAGTAGCAGCTTTTTGATCATACTAAAAAGCTAACAATAGTAATAATCAGCCCTTTAGGTCACAGCAGCAGAGGTGGAACAGTCTATGGGTGGAGCAGGACAGCTCATAACGTGGAGTAGCTGCTTGGTTTGGACCATTTTCTCTGCTCTAGTAAGTAAGTAAGTAATCTTTATTTATATACCGCCTTTTCACTGCACATCGGCGTCTCAAAGCGGTTTACAATTGTTATTTTTGGGAGTGGGGGTGCCAGTACAGGAGGCACAGACCTATTGTACATATTTTTTAGTGGTAGGGGAAACCGGAGTACCCGGAGGAAACCTACGCAGACATGCAAACTCCACTCAGAAAGGCCCTGGTCCGACCGGGATTTGAACCCAGGACCTTCTTGCTGAGAGGCGAGAGTGCTATCCACTCAGCCACCGTGCCGCTCTAGTCCAAAGTAAAATGCTAAATTCTTCATTAGCATCTTTAAGTCAGCATTCCTCCAGAGGATTTTCAACTGATCTGCTTGTTTTGGACCGGGAATCCTCTCTGCTCTGGTCTGGACCAGTGCAAAACCAGAAGGATGAGTATTGTGGACATATGACTGTTGCTATGAGTGCTACAATGGCGATAACATGCCGTGGGTATAGCACTCATTAAGTGGCAAACTTTCATTCCCATTCATTTAACAAGGAGAAAGACCGTATACAATTTGCGGATGGGAGAAGGTCCGAGTGTCCCAATCTTTGCCGGGAGTTCCAGGTTACAGGAGGGTACAGCCTGATGGAGAGAGTGAGAAACCATCATATAATTAAACCCCAGTTCAACCAATTATCGCTTCTGCTGCTGAGGCGACTGGGGAGACGCGTAGGCTCGGATCACCTCTGGTTTTCACTTTTACCTCTTTTTATTCCAGGGTAACAGCGTGTGAGGAGAGTACTGTTGACTCAGAGCTAATAAGGTAGTATGTGAGGAGCTGAAGCACAAAGTCAGGATGTTTTAAATTCATAAGTCGCATAAGACACATCCATGGAGTCACAAAGTCTTTCTCAGCACATATCAACTTTAGTCTCATAGTTCTCTCATAAAGACGTCTAGAAGCGGTGACAATATTCAAAAACATTTGCATGATGTTGAGAAAAGAATCTCCTTCAGATTCTATTGTCTCTCTCTGGTTTCTATGGTCTCTCTCCCCACTCTCTCTTGGATCTCTCCCTGGTCCCTCCCTGGTCTCTCTCTAGTCTCTCTCTCTCTGGTCCATCCCTGGTCTCTCTCTTTGGTCTCTCTCCGGTCTTTCTCTGCTCTTAAGTCTCTTTTCGTGGTCTCTCTCGCTGGTCTCTCACTGGTCTCTCTCTCTGGTCTTTCTCTGCTCCCTCTTGTCTCTCTCTGGACCCTCTCCCTGATCTCTCTTTCTGGCCTCCCTTGTCTCTCTCATCACATAGTCAATAGCAGTATTTTCCATCTTGTGACTTGTAATTAGTTTAGAACCTTCTTTCCCTGACACAGACATGAGCCACAGCCGAGAAAACAGCTGCTCATTTAGTTGTGTCCAAATGAATTCAAAAAGTCTAGATCGCAAGGCGGGTTAGACGCCCAGCCTATGTTGTGTGTGAGGAGGGGGAGACCCAGGGTTTTTGGTCTAATAGATAACATAGTCAAGTTAAACTCAATCAGATACATAGGCAAGGCAATTTTATTTGTAGAGCACGGTTCATACACAAGGAAACTCTAAAATAATCACATTGCATTAAAAAGAGTGAAGATGCAGCTAAACAGATCGGTTTTTAAACTGGATTTGAACATTGTCAGAATAGAAGTCTGTCTCATATTTTTAGGAAGACTGTTCCAGATTTTTGCTGCATAAATCGTAAATGCTGCTTCCCCATTTTAAAAGAAGAAAAATAATGTGCTGTCAAATATGAGAGTTTTATGAATATTATTTCTCAATAAAAATATATACAATCACCAGACCACACATGCATTCTTTGTGTTTGAGCATTTTTGGTCGGAATAAACAGAGACTAAATGGACCAGAAGAGCAGACCTGTCCCGTTCGCGTCCCCCTGGTTGTAAAACTACAGTAGGGGGAAGCTGCTGTAGCTGAGGATTGACAGAGGCAGGTGCGCAGCTCAGTCTGTGCGCTCTGGCTCCGAGACACTCACTCCAGGACGAAAGCAGGACTATATCAGGACTAAAACAGAATTAAATCAGGTCTAAGTCAGGACCAAAGCTGGACTAAGGCAGGTCTAAAGCAAGACTAAAGCAGGACTAAACGAAGAGACTGAACCTGCATGGTCTGGAAAAGGACTATAGACCAGGATTAAAGTGGGACTGAACGAGGACCGAAACAGGACTGAATCAAGAATAAAGCAGGACCGAACAAGGACTGGACAAGAACTGAACTAAGACTCAAGCCGATGGGATCAAGGTCTGTTCCAGAATCAGGAGCGAAACGGTTGTAAAGTTCTATAGACTAAACTCGGAGGTTCAAAGACTAAACCGGGTCTGGACCAGGACTGGACCAGGATTAAAGTGGATCTGAAGCAAGGCTAAAGCAGGACCGAGCAAGAACAGGACAAGGTCTGAACCAAGACTGGATCCAACTTTGAACCAGGGACCGCGCACCTCTCCTCTGCGCGCTCCTCTCCGCGCTATGCCCACGTCCCTCGCTCCTCTGGCCCCGTCCTCCTCAGCCTAGACCTCACTCCTCATGGATCCCCCAGACTTCTCCTCCATGAACCTGACCGTGCAGCCCACCCCCTTCTCGTACCCGGTGTGTGCGCGCTGGGCGGACCGCTCGGAGGGCTCGGTGTTCCATCTGGCACACCTGCTGCTGTTCCTGGGGCTGATGGGCGGCAGCGGGCTCTACGGACTGCTCTACCTCTTCACCCTCCTGACCCTCGGCTTCTTCTGCCTCACCGTGTGGTCCTGGTCCGAGCCCTGCACCAGCGACGCCTTCCTCTGGAGCCTGGCGCTGTTCGCTGCGTGTTTGGCGCAGGTATAAATAATTGACATTCTGTATTACAATATTTTCCCCCCTTTAAACTTTGCGTTGGAGGTACAGCCGATGATTGGACGTGATGCTTAAAGCTGGGGTACGTAACTTTCAAGCCACAACAATGGAACTCTAAAAAGTGAACCATATGTCACTAGTCTCTATCTTTGAAACAGTTTGCTTCTATAGTTGTAGCGTGCAAATATGGAGAGACGAGAGAGGGGGACAAGGGAGACCAGAGAGAGGGAGAGAGACCATAGAGACTGAATAAAGGCCAGATAGAGACCAGAAAGAGACCAAACAGTGAGACAGAGAGAGACCAGAGACTAGTGAAAGACCAGCAACTCCTGGTCTAGTTTTTAACATACAGTATACTGTATGTCTTCTGTAACATATTTGTCCCTAATGTCTCCTGTCACATCTTTAGGTGAGCTTTTCTAGAAGGAAATGTGACTCAGCCCAATAATCAAATAGTGACGCACAGGGCTCTTCACCCTCCTCACCCTCCTTGGCTTCTTCAGCCCTGAAACAGCAACGCTCTGGAGCCTGGGGCTTTAATTGTCAGATGGACATTCTTCATTCCAATATTTCCCCCTGTAAACTTTGCATCGCAGGTGATGGCTAAAGCTGGGGTATGTAACTTTAAAACCACAACAATAGACCACTGTAACAATATCCATGTCACTAGTTCATGTAGCTTTGAAACTGTTTGCTTCCTCCACACCGATTCCAGACGTTAACCTCAAACTGATATTGCTTATTTGAACTAATCAGGAGTCAAATCTCTATCAAGGCTTGTAAGGTAATTAGCGTTAGACTGGTATATATTGATTGGTTCTAATAAAAAATATATATATATACATATAGTGGATAGCACTTTTGCTTCTCAACAAGATAAACAGAGCCATTCTGTGTGGAGTTTGTATGTTCTCCCTGTGTCTGTGTAGGTTTCCTCTGGGAGCTCCGGTTTCCCTTACAGCTAAAAACATGTACAATAGGTCTGGCCTATGCCTTTTGTATAGGGACCTGCTCCCATCTCTGTGTGGACTAATGCCCACAATTGTAAAGCGCTAGGTGACTGGTCTGTGAAAGGCGCTATATAAATAAAGATGACTTACTCCCCTGATGTAGAGAAAGAGCAGAGAGAGATAAGAGAGACCAGAGAGAGAGAGAATAAAGAAAGAGAGGTCTCGGTCGTGGTCTTGTTTTCACATGCAGGTATTTTTAGCCCAAAGAGTCAAATAATGACTCACAGGGCTCTTCATTTCACAGAAGTTGTTGTGGTCTGACTTCTTCACAATATTTTACATAAAATCTGGAGAGACTCAGTAGAGTAAAAAGTTTATTAGAATTTGTATTTGTATTTATTGGTTGGCATAGTAATCTGCATAAACTACACACAACTCTGCAGACATGATTAAGAATGACATTTACTGCTGCTTTAAAATAAACATGGCCATGATTTGGCGCTCAGACCCTGGCAGAGAACTGTATGACAGATGCAGAAGGGGAAATAAAAAAATAGCGAGAATGAAGCTAAGACCCTGATGGTAGAAAGGTTGAAGAGCTGATGAGACGGTGATGGGAGGAGGAGGGTTGCTTCTGAGAAAAATGAGTATGATGTCATAGTGGTACTATGACATCATACTGTTACTTTAGAAGGGGCGGAGCTATAGGTTTGTGCCTGTATTAATGCTGGATCTAAAAACAACTACAGGTTTGTGACGATGAGCAACAATGTTATGAAGTGGATTTGCAAACATCTGCCCTACTAATGAGTGTGTTTGGCGCAGGGCGCGCACGTGTCGTACCGGCTGCGCAGCGTGGCGGTGGGGCCGGACTTTGCAGAGCTATATGCGCGGCTCTTCCAGAGACTCGGCGTCTCGCTCACGCACTACGCCAAGATTGTGGCGTGCTGTGAGCGGCACGTGCACGTGCTGGAGCGCGACCACTGCTTCGCTGTGGAGGGAAAGACCGCCATCGACAAGCTGTCGGTGCTTCTGGAGGGACGGTGAGCGCCGACAGAAACACTGTGTTAAAGCTCAAGTACAGAGGTTTTTGGCTCAGTCTTTCACTCTTTCTTTTTTGGATTTTCTAAGATGTACAACACTAATAACACAAGTAATTTGTTTTTATGTTTTTTTTCTAATCCCTATTTTTTTTTAACTATAGACCTTTATCAAATGGTCAAGATGCAGTTTGATGGTAAAAGTGCCTAAAACCAAGTGAGATGCTCCAAAGAGGTAGATTTCAGTCCCAAGCTTCAAGATATAAATATAGTCTGTCAAAAGGTGATCTACCAAATGGTTGAGGAAACCATTCGTTCATTTTCTAAGCCTTTATTAATCCATTTCTGGGTTGGGGGGGTGACAATCAGAGCTGCCACCCAATCCTCAGCGCCAGTTCCTCGCTGATCCTCTGCAGGTCCACGGAAAGATGGCCGCTCCTCCGTCAGCGATGGCACAGCCTTCGTGTTTCGGGGGGCGGGGCTTCAGGCAAAGTGGGATTAAGTGTCTTGCCCAAGGACACACCGACAGCAGACATCAGTGGAAGCAGTTGGAGCAGGTCTTGTGGGGGTGTTGAACCCACGACCTTCACAACAGAGCCACTGTCGCCTCACTGTTGGTCGTTGAAGAAACCATTAAAGGGTCAAAAGGTTCTTTTAACTGCCGTTTGAAGAAAGAAACAGAACATACTGTAGCAAACAGACCGAACACGTACATGAGCTGAGGAATTACACTTACAAAACTAAAAGTCGTCAAACTGCTCTGGGAGTTCATGGAGACTGATCATTCTTCTCTTGTGTCCAGGATCAGTGTGACGGTGAACGGAGAGTTCCTTCACTACATTTATCCGTTCCAGTTCTTGGACTCTCCAGAGTGGGACTCGCTCCGGCCGTCAGAGGAAGGCATCTTTCAGGTTCAAAACATTCATATACTCTGTGTTCATGTGACATCACAACATTCCAAAGAGCCTATAGTTTCACATTGTGGTGGAAGACAGCTGAAACACTTGTCCTGGCAACTATAGCCCAAAGTAAGATTCTGTTTTCAGTTTAGGGCCATTTTCTCTGTATTTCCTGGAACAATTCAACAGAGATCCACATCTTCTCTGTCTGCACTTATCAACTATGGTCTCATTATTTTCTCATAAATGTGTCAAGTGGTGACAATATTCCAAAACATGTGCATGATGTTGGTCAGATATTGGATTGGTTTTTTCGTATCTCTCTGGTCTCTCTCTGCTGTCTCTCTCTGGTGTCTCTGGTCTCTCTCTCTTTCAGTATCTCTGATCTCTCTTTGGTCTGTTTTTCTGGTCTCTCTGGTCTTCTTCTGGTCTTGCTCTGTTGCGGCTATCCAAACGCGCCACACGCACTACCATCTAGGCGCTCAAATCGAACGCACCTCATAGCAGGAGACGCGCTCCTCCCAGTCGGCCCTTTCCAATGGCCGTTGTGGGTGGTGCCCTCTTTCCTTTTATTAGTGATTGTTTGAACGTGTGAATGAATGAAATGAACAATAACTCGTGCTCACTGCAAAAAAGTGAAATTTATAATAAAATAAGAAAAGACACTCCTGCCTTGTGTTCGTCCGTAATTTGGGTCATTACTGCAATATGCTCTGCCCTCTCTCTAGTCTCACTCTGGTCTCTCTGGTCTCTCTCTCTCTCTCTCTCTCTCTCTCTCTCTCTCTCTCTCTCTCTCTCTCTCTCTGGTCTCTTGACACCATCTTTCTGCTGGAAAGACTCTTACAGAAGCTTTCTCTTGTCATTCACCCACTGACACTGAGGCTGAGGCTGCACTTCCCACTGTGTCCTGCAGGTGACGCTGCGAGCTGACCACCGCTGCCGGTACGTGACATGGCGCAGGAAGAGGCTATACTTGCTCTTTGCCAAACACCGGTACCTCGCCAAGATCTTCGCCCTGGTGGTGAGACACGATATCGCAGAAAAACTTTACTCCCTCAACGACAAGGCCTTCGACTGCTCCGGCCACCGCTACGACCTGAGGCTGCCCAGCTTCTGCCACCCGCCCGAGTTACCCAAGGAGAGCACCCCGGACCAGACCACAGACCAGACCACGGACCAGACCACAGACCAGACCACGGACCAGACCACAGACCCACCTGTAGACCCTGCACCTGGGCCCAGGGAGCAGGGGGAGGGGCTGCTGAAGGTGCCATGTGTCTGATAGGCCCTGTGCACCATGCCGCCCTCGTCAGCCCAATATACATGTAGGAGCCTCGCTTATTTTCAAAATACATGGGAAACATGTTGGTGCTAACAGTATATATCAGCTCCTCATGTCCACAACATTTGTATTAAACATGAGTAAGTAAGTAGTAGTAAGTAATCTTTATTTATATACCGCCTTTTCACTGCACATCGGAGTCTCAAAGCGGTTTACAATTGTGATTTTTTTTTTGGGAGTGGGGGTGCCAGATCTATTGTACATATTTTTAGTGGTAGGGGAAACCGGAGCACCCGGAGGAAACCTACGCAGACACGGGGAGAACATGCAAACTCCACTCAGAAAGGCCCTGGTCCAACCGGGATTCGAACCCAGGACCTTCTTGCTGAGAGGCGAGAGTGCTATCCACTCAGCCACCGTGCCGCCCTGTGTGAGGATGAGGACTGGCAGGTTTGACACTGATACTGGACATGTTTTTTTTTTCTTTTATTAAGTTGTGCGTCTGACCCCACCAGCCACAGAGATCATGAGAACAAACACAATCTATACATCTGACTTTTGCTGCTGTACATCAGTCCTCTGGTCTGTACTGTGCTCTACACTTCTCCATAGACGACACAGAGACAACCACCACGCCTCCGCTCGCTCTCCCGGTTTGTATGCAGCCGCGTGACATCTGACGTCTCTCGCTATTAAGGTTAGGTCATGGATCTATAATAATATCTGACCAGGGTATTACTAGCTTATAACTGTCCCACCAATGGGCCAAGGGGGCGCCCTTGGTACTGCAGACTTATTTCACGTTAGCCAGAAAAATGTCCAATAGAACTCAATGTAAATTAAAACAGCTCGACCTCAGCTGAAAGAGAACCTACAACTTTCATAAAGATCGGATTTTGTGGAGATTTCATTGTCTCTTGTCCTGAACTTTTTTTCATCTTAAATCCACACTTTAATGCAATCGTTTCCCACTTTAATGCAATTGTTTCCCGCTCTAACGCCGCTCTGATCAGCAGCTCTGATCAGCAGCTCTGATCAGCAGCTCTGATTGGTCAAAGCGCGGCCGAGCCCCTCTGTGCACGTGCATGAGAGCCACACACGCGTATTTGGCGCAAAGCATCAGGGGAGCTCGTCCACTACACAGAACCGCTAGTGTTTGGGTCCCAGGAGCACAAGCCATTGATGTGAATACGGCACCATCTTGGATCACCGGGGCTCGGGTTAGGTCCTTTAGTTTTCCACTCTTCAATCTGGATAAAACTACAGCAGTGCCACAAACAAGTGAAGGAGCTCGTTGTTTTCCTTGCAACTGTTGTGATTGGATTGACCCGACATCAGCAGCCAATCAGAGCGTCGGAACGTGTCCACGCCCACATCTCTCAGCTGTGAGGAAGTGGGTGTGGCTCGCTTCACTTAAATTTACACTACTTCCTGTAAACATGTTTCTCTTGACAAACCTTGACTTCTTCAGTGTAAAACTAATCAAACTTTAAAAAGGTGTCAAAATGGTAAAATATTGAAAAATTGGGCTTTAAACATGTGTCTGAGATGAGTCTGCCTGAACAAAAACATGGAGAGTGCTGTTGATTTGTAGTTTGGAATTTTTTAGAATAATATGGTTCACGTTGGTGCAGTGTATTGTTGTATGAAAATGTATCAAAACAGCTTCAATATGTTAGTTTGGTCTGGTTTGGCTCAGTGCTTGGACCGGAGGAAGGGTCTTATGTCCATAAACCGTCTGTGTTTAGTCCAGGGAAACTTAAACATGATTATTATGATGTTGTTAATGGAGATAGTTGTGTTTTGTAATCAATGCTGTTCTGTTGAATATTTTGACTACTAGGGTGGTCCACACTGTTTGGCTTCTGTCTAAGGCTGTATTTTTATATTTGTGCATATTAGTATTTACATTCTTGAATAAATAAAGACATTACTTGTGGGTCTTTTCATTCATCATTGAGAGAAAATGGCACAATAACAATACATTGTGGCTCCAGGACTGAGGCTGTAGACCCAGGACTGAGGCTGTAGACCCAGGACTGAGGCTGTAGACCCAGGACTGAGGCTGTAGACCCAGGACTGAGGCTGTAGATCCAGGGCTGAGGCTGTTGATCCAGGACTGAGGCTGTAGATCCAGGACTGAGGCTGTAGACCCAGGACTGAGACTGTAGCTCCAACTGAGGCTGTAGATCCAGGACCGAGGCTGTAGATTCAGGGCTGAGGCTGTAGACCCAGGACTGAGGCTGTAGACCCAGGACTGAGGCTGTAGACCCAGGACTGAGACTGTAGCTCCAGGACTGAGGCTGTAGACCCAGGACTGAAGAGGTTTCCAGGTGGTGATGGGGGTGCAGCCAATCAGCTATCAGCCCAAAAGAGACTAATAGCGACTCACAGGACAGCTTTAGACTAAGATGAAGAGATCCTTTATTTGTCCTACAGGAAGGAAATTTCAGTGTTGCATCACCAGGTACAATATGAAAAGCACACAACACTCGATACAAAAATAAAAAAAATCTCTATCTTTAGCATAATAAAGAAGCAAGTACAAAATCCCTCAGTATAACAAAGAAACGAGTAAAATTTCTCACTTTAGCTTTGAAGTGAAACATACTGTATACTAGTGCAAGTATGCAGTAGTTTGTATACATCTGTACATGTTAGCAGCACGAGGGTATGGGACAAAGTGACAGTGGACACATGTGGTCTATGAAGTCCTCTTTTGTCACACACAGACACACACAGACACACACTGGCCCCATCGCTGCATTCTGGCGCCCCCTGCCCGCGCTCCTCGCCCCTGCAGTCTGCTCCTCACACACTCCCAGCTCTTTGCCCATGTTTAGTCCGCGTCTGTCCCCGTGACCAGCGCCTGTCGCCCCCGTCTCCACACACCGCGCTGTCCCGGAGCCTCCAGCCCGTTCTGAAGGCTCTCTCCCGCGTCCACACTGCTGCAGGACCCCCGCCACGGCTGAAGCAGACCCGCGGTGAGTGAGCGCACTTTGGGGGGGACGCGGTCAGAGCGCACGCTTCTACTGCAGCTGGTCCATGTTTATAGTGGACTAGAGGGCATCGCACCAGCAGCCATGTTGTGACTGAAGAACTCATTCAAACCTATGGAATCTATCTGAAATACTTTGACAATTATCTGTTCAAAAGTTGAGATTTATCAAATGTGTCTGATCTGCTAAAATGAGAGAAATACACATGTCTAGATGTATTTATTATTTCTGTAGTGTTTGACTGCCCTGTTACACACAAACACACACACACACACACAAAACACACACACATACACACACACACGCACACAAAACACACATACACACACACACACACACACACACACACTCATATACACTTACACACACATATACACAAAACCACACACACTGATTTTTCATAATTATGAAACCTTTGATTGTACATAGATAGACAATGCTTAATGAAGCTCTAAACTTTGTCCATGGGCACTCTCTGGGACAAAGTTTTGGCTCCAACTCACTCTGGCTCCTATTGACCTATATAGGAGCCAGTAATGAAACGCGTAGTAACTGTTTGTGTCTCACTCACCATTTTGTGCATCATAAATCTGAGGTTTAGCGCTCTCCATGATCCTGGTGTTTGTACTATTTATTCTTTGGAGATGAGCCCTAACAACTGACCAATCAGGAACCTCCAGGAAGAAGCTGATTTGAACATATCCTTATGTGGGTGTTTGCTCTGACGGTGTTAGCTTCATGATGTGACATGAGGGGACTTGTTGCTAAGACGGTTGCTAAGGCAAGCTGGAGATTCCCCTCAAATGAAGGCATCTTTAGTCCATCCTTATATGGCTTATATCTGGATTTACAGACAATATCAATATATAAACACCAGGATTACAGAGCGCATGAAAACATAGTGACGTACGGAGACATACAGAGATGTCCATCCATCCATCCATTTTCTTCCGCTCCATCCGTTGCCGGGTCGCGGGGGCAGCAGTCTAAGCAGAGACACCCAGACTTCCCTATCCACACACACCTCCTCCAGCTCGTCCGGGGGGACTCCAAGGCGTTCCCAGGCCAGCTGAGAGACATAGTCCCTCCAGCATGTCCTGGGTCTTCCCCGGGGCCTCCTCCCGGTGGGATGTGCCCGGAACACCTCCCCAGGGAGGCGTCCAGGAGGCATCCGGAACAGATGCCCGAGCCACCTCAACTGGTTCCTCTTGACGTGAAAAAGAAGCGGCTCTACTCCGAGCTCCTCCCGTGTGACTGAGCTCCTCACCCTATCTCTAAGGGAGCGCCCAGCCACTCTGCGGAGGAAGCTCATTTCGACCGCTTGTATCCGCGATCTCGTTCTTTCGGTCATTACCCAAAGCTCATGACCATAGGTGAGGGAGGGAACGAAGATTGACCGGTAAACTGAGAGCTTTGCCTTTCGGCTCAGCTCCCTCTTTACCACAACGGTCCGATACAGCGACCGAAATGACTTGTATTACACTGATGTATGATATAGAAGCAATTTTAAATCAAGGAATCTATTACATTAATTTGACAATGAGATAAACGGCAGAATTATGTCATATTTAGTCAACCTTTCTCTGCAAATATATCTCAAATAGATCTCGCAGTAAAAATGCACAGACAACAAATCCTAACAATAACAACAACAACAAAAAAAGCCCGAAGTTATTACAGTGATTGAACAACAAGCCGAGATAGTAATAATGGTGAAGCCAAGCAGTCAGTCAGAGCTGTTCCCAGGTCTGAGGATCACTGTATCGGACTGTTATGGGGAAGAGAGAGCAGCGTCTCCAGCCAGAGCTCTGGATTCAGCTCAGTGTACAATCGCAGCCTCAGCTAAGTCTTTGGGGAAGGAGATAAAGGACAAGATGGAGGACACAAAAAGTCTACAAGCATTTCCTTCGCAGAGTGGCTGGAAACTGTTAGAGAGAGGGGGCGGGGCTCAGTCACACGGGAGGAACTCGAAGTAGAGCTGCTGTTCTTCCACATCAAGAGGAGCCTAGTTAAGGTGTTCTATATTTGTCCAACAGAACGTTAAGTAAAAGTAAAAAGTTGTGAACAAACCAGACCACAACATGCTGTCTTCATCTCATTATATATTTAGTTTAAGAAAGATCCCTATGAGTCACTGTTTGACTCTTTGGGCTGGGAGCTGATTGGCTGAGTGAGGGTGGTCCTCTTTTTTTCACTTTTCTGTCTGAAAAAGCTTCTCTGAAGATGTGACAGAGGCCAAAAACACATGTATGTGAAAACTAGAAGCAACCATTTTAGATCCAGAAATTAGAGGCAAGGATTTCATTACAGAAAGTTCTGTACCCCAGCTTTAAAAGTCACTTAGTTTCAAGATTTTTTTGTAGTCACATCAGCAGTCTCTCTTCTCTCTGGTCTCTCTCCAGTCTCTCTTTATCTCTCTTTGGGTCTCCCTCGTCTCTGGTTTCTCTCTGCTCTCTTTGGTCTCTCTATCTTTTGTCTCTGGCCTCTCTCTGGTCTCTTTCCAATCTCTCTTTATCTCTCTCTGGTCTCTCTCTGGTCTCTCTCTGGCCTCTCTCTGGTCTCTCTGCTCCCTCTGGTCACATATATAAATCTTATCGTGGGACAGTGGAGGGAGGGACTGCGTGTTTTTGGGTCTATTTTTACTCAGGGTCCTCCCCCCCTCCCCCCTCTGAGCCTGGAGCCCATCACACTGACACCCGGTCAGAGGGGCTGGGAATGTGTGTGTGTCTGTGTGTCTGTATGTGTGTGTGTGTGTGTGTGTGTGTCTGTATGTGTGTGTGTGTGTGTGTGTCTGTGTCTGTGTGTATGTGTGTGTGTGTTTGTGTGAAAGTCTGGGTCCTTGTGTATATGTGTTTGTGTGTTTTGTGTGTTGTGTGTGTGTGCGTGTGTGTGTGAGTGTGTGCATGTTCGTGAGTCTGTGTGTGTCTGTGTGCCTTTCTCCAGGAGCCTCTGCAGCATTGAGAGCTATCTTAAAACCATAAAACAGACACATTCACTCAACAGTGCTCTACATTTAGTTTGTAGCTTGTCTCACACTTTCAGGAAGATTGATTGAGTAATACTAACAGGTTGTGTTCATGTGACATCAGCAAAGAGCAAATAGTTTCACTTTGGTAACTATGGTAACCGTTGTTAGTGTCAAAAGTCAAATTGTACTCTTAGTTTAGAGATAATTTCTCTGTCATTCATCATTTTCTTAAAAAAGGCTGGAAATGGTGAAATTATTCAATAACATATGCATGATATTGGTCAATAGAGAGGACATTCTGTCTAAGAATAACGGCACGGTGGAATAGCACTCTCGCTTCTCAGCAAGAAGGTCCTGCGTTCAAATCCTGGTCGGAACAGGGCCTTTCTGAGTGGGGTTTGCATGTTCTCCCTGTGTCTGCATAGGTTTTCTCTGAGTACTACCACTAAAAAAACATGTTCAATAGATCTGGCATGTGCCTCCTGTACTGGCCCCGCTCCCGTCTCTGTGTGGAGTGAGAGACAAATGCCCACATTTGTAAACCGCTTTGTGACTCTGGTCTGTGAAAGGCATTATATAAATAAAGATTACTTCCTACTTACTATACATAGACGTGGCGCAGACACTGCAAAGCAATTAGCAATAACTACCAGGCTCCTGTACAGAATTTAGACCGCGACAGAAAACAATGTAAACTTAGTCTCTCTCTTTCTCAGGTCTCTCTCACTGGTCTCTCTGGTCACTCTCTGGTCTCTCACTGGTCTCTCACTGGTCTCTCACTGGTCTCTCACTGGTCACTCTCTGGTCTCTCACTGGTCTCTCTCTGGTCTCTCTCTGGTCTCTCACTGGTCACTCTCTGGTCTCTCACTGGTCTCTCACTGGTCTCTCTCTGGTCGCTCACTGGTCTCTCACTGGTCTCTCACTGGTCTCTCTCTGGTCTCTCACTGGTCTCTCCCTCTGGTCTCTCTCTCTGGTCTCTCTGGTCTCTCACCGCTCTCTCTCTGGTCTCTCTGGTCTCTCGCTGGTCTCTCACTGGTCTCTCACTGGTCTCTCGCCGGTCTCTCGCTGGTCTCTCTGGTCTCTCACTGGTCTCTCACTGGTCTCTCTCTGGTCTCTCACTGGTCTCTCTCTGGTCTTTCTGGTCTCTCACTGGCCTCTCTCTCGTCTCTCTGGTCTCTCTGGTCTCTATCTGGTCTCTCTCTGGTCTCTCTGGTCTCTCTCTGGTCTCTCTCTGGTCTCTCTCTGGTCTCTCTGGTCTCTCTCTGGTCTCTCTGGTCTCTCACTGGTCTCTCTCTGGTCTCTAACTGGTCTCTCACCGGTCTCTCGCTGGTCTCTCTGGTCTCTCACTGGTCTCTCACTGGTCTCTCTCTGGTCTCTCACTGGTCTCTCTCTGGTCTCTCACTGGTCTCTCTCTGGTCTCTCACTGGTCTCTCTCTGGTCTTTCTGGTCTCTCACTGGTCTCTCTGGTCTCTCTGTGGTCTCTCTCTGGTCTCTCTCTGGTCTCTCTGGTCTCTCTCTGGTCTCTCTGGTCTCTCTCTGGTCTCTCTGGTCTCTCTCTGGTCTCTCTGGTCTCTCTCTGGTGTCTCTCTGGTCTCTCTCTGGTCTCTCTGGTCTCTCTCTGGTCTCTCTGGTCTCTCTGGTCTCTCTCTGGTCTCTCTGGTCTCTCACTGGTCTCTCTCTGGTCTCTCACTGGTCTCTCACCGGTCTCTCGCTGGTCTCTCTGGTCTCTCTCTGGTCTCTCACTGGTCTCTCTCTGGTCTCTCTCTGGTCTTTCTGGTCTCTCTCTGGTCTCTCTCTGGTCTCTCTGGTCTCTCTCTGGTCTCTCTCTGGTCTCTCTCTGGTCTCTCTGGTCTCTCTGTGGTCTCTCTCTGGTCTCTCTCTGGTCTCTCTCTGGTCTCTCTCTGGTCTCTCTCTGGTCTCTCTGGTCTCTCTCTGGTCTCTCTGGTCTCTCTCTGGTCTCTCTGGTCTCTCACTGGTCTCTCTCTGGTCTCTCTCTGGTCTCTCTCTGGTCTCTCTCTGGTCTCTCTCTGGTCTCTCTGGTCTCTCTCTGGTCTCTCTGGTCTCTCACTGGTCTCTCTGGTCTCTCACTGGTCTCTCACACCTCTCTCTCTGGTCTCTCTGGTCTCTCTGGTCTCTCACTGGTCTCTCTCTGGTCTCTCTGGTCTCTCTCTGGTCTCTCTGGTCACTCTCTGGTCTCTCACTGGTCTCTCACTGGTCTCTCACTGGTCTCTCACTGGTCACTCTCTGGTCTCTCACTGGTCTCTCTCTGGTCTCTCTCTGGTCTCTCACTGGTCTCTCACTGGTCTCTCTCTGGTGTCTCACTGGTCTCTCTCTGGTCTCTCACTGGTCTCTCTCTCTGGTCTCTCTGGTCTCTCGCTGGTCTCTCACTGGTCTCTCACTGGTCTCTCGCTGGTCTCTCTGGTCTCTCACTGGTCTCTCACTGGTCTCTCTCTGGTCTCTCACTGGTCTCTCTCTGGTCTTTCTGGTCTCTCACTGGCCTCTCTCTGGTCTCTCTGGTCTCTCTGGTCTCTCTGGTCTCTATCTGGTCTCTCTCTGGTCTCTCTCTGGTCTCTCTCTGGTCTCTCTCTGGTCTCTCTCTGGTCTCTCTGGTCTCTATCTGGTCTCTCTCTGGTCTCTCTGGTCTCTCTCTGGTCTCTCTCTGGTCTCTCTGGTCTCTCACTGGTCTCTCACCGGTCTCTCGCTGGTCTCTCTGGTCTCTCACTGGTCTCTCACTGGTCTCTCTCTGGTCTCTCACTGGTCTCTCTCTGGTCTCTCTCTGGTCTCTCTCTGGTCTCTCTCTGGTCTCTCTGGTCTCTCTGGTCTCTCTCTGGTCTCTCTCTGGTCTCTCTCTGGTCTCTCTCTGGTCTCTCTCTGGTCTGTCTCTGGTCTCTCTGGTCTCTCTCTGGTCTCTCTGGTCTCTCACTGGTCTCTCTGGTCTCTCACTGGTCTCTCACCGCTCTCTCTCTGGTCTCTCTGGTCTCTCGCTGGTCTCTCACTGGTCTCTCACTGGTCTCTCGCCGGTCTCTCGCTGGTCTCTCTGGTCGCTCACTGGTCTCTCACTGGTCTCTCTCTGGTCTCTCACTGGTCTCTCTCTGGTCTCTCTCTGGTCTCTCTCTGGTCTCTCTCTGGTCTCTCTCTGGTCTCTCTCTGGTCTCTCTCTGGTCTCTCTCTGGTCTCTCTGGTCTCTCACTGGTCTCTCTCTGGTCTCTCTCTGGTCTCTCTCTGGTCTCTCACTGGTCTCTCTCTGGTCTCTCTGGTCTCTCTGGTCTCTCTCTGGTCTCTCTGGTCTCTCTCTGGTCTCTCTGGTCTCTCACTGGTCTCTCTCTGGTCTCTCTCTGGTCTCTCTCTGGTCTCTCTCTGGTCTCTCTGGTCTCTCTCTGGTCTCTCTCTGGTCTCTCTGGTCTCTCTCTGGTCTCTCTGGTCTCTCACTGGTCTCTCTGGTCTCTCACTGGTCTCTCACACCTCTCTCTCTGGTCTCTCTGGTCTCTCACTGGTCTCTCTCTGGTCTCTCTGGTCTCTCTCTGGTCTCTCTGGTCTCTCTCTGGTCTCTCTGGTCTCTCACTGGTCTCTCTCTGGTCTCTCTCTGGTCTCTCTCTGGTCTCTCTCTGGTCTCTCTCTGGTCTCTCTGGTCTCTCTCTGGTCTCTCTGGTCTCTCACTGGTCTCTCTCTGGTCTCTCTCTGGTCTCTCTCTGGTCTCTCTCTGGTCTCTCTCTGGTCTCTCTGGTCTCTCTCTGGTCTCTCTGGTCTCTCACTGGTCTCTCTCTGGTCTCTCACTGGTCTCTCTCTGGTCTCTCACTGGTCTCTCTCTGGTCTCTCTGGTCTCTCTCTGGTCTCTCTGGCCTCTCTCTGGTCTCTCTCTGGTCTCTCTCTGGTCTCTCTCTGGTCTCTCTCTGGTCCCTCTGGTCTCTCTCTGGTCTCTTACTGGTCTCTGGTATCTCTCTGGTCTTGCATAAGGAGTATAGTATAGCAGCTTTGTGAATCTAATCACAATCATTCAATAATGTGGAAAAGAAGGACATTTTCTTTTTCAACAACTGCTTCTTTCCCATAGAGTTGTAATTGCTGAAGTATTATAATATAATAATACATCCTTAAATCTGTAAGAGTCAAATAGAGACTCATAGGGCTGTTTGTTACGCTGTTTTTTGCTCGGATGAAGACCACTTGTTGTGTCTGATTTGCTCACAGCTGTAAGTGCAGTCTGTCGATGACATAATGTAAATAGTGGCTCAGTGTGGTCCAATCACAGCTCTTTGATTCCACCAAGAGAGCTGTAAAGAAACAATCACCTCCTGTTGATTGCAATCAGGTCTAATGTGAGATTAAAAGGCTCTGCTCCCAAAGTGGGTCTTCATTAAGTCTGGTTGGGATTTTAGTTTGAAACAAGGTCACGTCAAGGAGACCCATTCTGCACAATGCACACTCGCATCGATTCCTCCTCCAGACAGGGCTTTTCTGTTCTTTGGTCTCTTTGGTCTCTCTGGTCTCTCTCTGGTCTTTCTGGTCTCTTTGGTCTCTTTGGTCTCTCTGGTCTCTCTCTGGTCTCTCTGGTCTCTCTGGTCTTTTTGGTCTCTCTGGTCTCTCTGGTCTCTCTCTGGTCTCTTTGGTCTCTCTGGTCTCTCTCTGGTCTCTCTCTGGTCTCTCTGGTCTCTCTGGTCTCTCTCTGGTCTCTCTGGTCTCTCTCTGGTCTCTTTGGTCTCTCTGGTCTCTCTCTGGTCTCTCTCTTGTATCTCTCTCTTTTCTCTCGTCTCTCTGGTCCAAAAAAAACAAATCCATATGGAAAACAGTTATTGTTTTATTCATAGACTGTGTATTAGGTGGATTAACCGAGTTCTGACATCACCGTAGTGTTAATTATGTGGAAGAAGCCAATTTGAACACAAGCTAGCTAATTTTATAGTTATAATTTCCTTATAATGGCATTTGTTCAAGCAGGTTGAACAAATGCTAAGACGGTTGTTGAGGCAAGTTGTAAGTTACCTCACAAATGAAGACATGAATGATCAATCCAATCCAGAGAGTGCTGAACCAAGAATTCTTAATCCCAAAACAGTTACTGAGTTTGCTTTGTCATGTGCGGTCAATAGGAACCAGAGCGAGTCGGAGCAAAACTTCCTTACTGGGCTTCATTGAGCTAGCGGGTTAGCATGGTCCATCTATATACAGTCCATGTTTATTTTTATTATTATTTATTACTCATTACATGTTTTTTTTATTGCTTAGAGCAAAGTTGGTGAAGACATGTCGACTCTCTCTCCCCTGCCCTTCTCCTCGCTCGCCCCTTACCCATCATCCTCGGCGGCTCCGGAGGTGAATGGCACGGTGTGTGAGGAGTGGGAGCACACACACCACCTGCTCTTCCACATGGGGAACCTGGCTCTGCTGCTGGGGCTGGCTGTGCCCACCACTGTGGGCCTGCACATGGTCCTGCTCAGGCTGCTGCTGATCATAGGTAACACACACACACACATACACACACGCATGCACGCACACACACACACACATACACACACGCATGCACGCACACACACGTACACGTACACACACGCATGCACGCACACACCCACACACACACGCACGCACGCACGCACACACATAAACACACACATACACACACATACACACACACACACACACACACACACACACACACACACACACACACATACACATACACACACGCATGCACGCACACACACATACACGTGCACGCATGCACGCACACACACATACACGTACACATACACACACGCATGCACGCACACACACATAGACGTACACACACACACACGCACGCACGCACGCACGCACACACACACACACACACACACACACACACATACAGTACACGCCTGTTTTTTCTACATGATGAGGCCCGATGGTTTTAACTCCTAAAATCATCTTTTATTTCTGGACTTTGGACTTACTCTACACAGCAGTTTGATTTTTTGTAGATATATAATGTTTTGCTTTAGACCTGTGTTGGAACTACTTTTTAAGTTATACAAAACATTTCCAGACAAAAGGTTTTGGACACATGGAACTTTTATTGACATTTTTTCCCAATTGCAGTTATTCTATTTTGTATATAGAACTGAATGCCACTCCACGTTCGATGTGTAAAGTCATCTGGAGAGGTGAAGGCAGTGGGACTTCCCAGGGACCCATTCTGTATGAAAAGACATGGCTTTTACATGTTCTGGAGAAAGAAAAGAGAGATCAAAAATATACACAACATTGACCGTTGAGTGGAGAAAAGTGTTTGTGTTGTCATTAAGGATCATAGTATGACTGATGTATGTATCAAATGTATCATCTGGTCTCTCCCTGGTCTCTTCCTGGTCCCTGGTTTCTCTCGGGTCATTGTTTGTGGGGGCCCCTGCAGGTTGTGGAGTGTTCATGGCCTGGGCGGCTCTGTACCGCTGTAACCTGGACGTCCTGGTCTGGAACCTGGTCTTCCTCATCATGAACTTCATGCACCTCTTCTTCCTGGTCTACAAACGCAGACCGGTGAGTGACCTGTGTGTGTGTGTGTGTGTGTGTGTGTCTGCTGCCCTTAATTTAAACACACTTACTTGCTCAAAGCATGACAATGTTGGGGGGAGGCAACTTTTTGGTTTTTGGGTCTCTGAACGCTCTCTTGTCTCTGTCTGCTTTCTCTCTCTGGTCCCACTCTGGTCTCTCTGGTCCCTGGTTTCTCTCTGGCTCCTGGGACTCTGGTTTCTCTCTGGTCCTTGGTCTCTCTGCAGTCTCTCTCTGATATCCGGACTCTCTCTGATCTTTTTTGGGCCCAGGGCTCTATCTGGTCTCACTGATCTCTCGTTTCTCTCTCGTCCCTGATCTCTCTCAGGTGTCTTTGGTCTGTCTGGTCCTTGGTCTCTCTCTAATCTCTCTGGCCCTGATCTCTCTCAGGTCTCTCTGGTCTCTCTCTAGTCTCTCTGGTCTCTCTCTGGTCTCTCTATAGTCTCTCTGGTCTCTCTCTGGTCCCTGGACTCTCTCTGGTCTCTCTCTGGTCTCATTTTTCCAGTACACATGTTTTTTCGTGTTTCCACAATCCTCTCGGTGTCAGACTTCTCCTCATTCTCTCGTATTTCTGGTGTTTCTCAGACTTATGGAAATGTGACGATGTCGTGGTGTTGTTAGGGACTCGGGAGGCGACAGAATCAGACCAGGGTTTTCCAAATGAGGAGTAGAGACCCTCCCCTCTCCTCCCCCCACCCCCACCCCCACCCCCTCCTCTGCCTTCACCCAGATTGTCATTGACGATAGCCAGGACACATCGCAACAGTCTGTGGTTCATGAGTTTGGAAACTGGAACAATAGTGAGGCTGTAGCTTGAATATGACCCACAATAATTCACTGATTCTAACAGTAGTTTAAGAATCGTTTCACATGTATTTTGGACTCACAACTTTAAAACAGATTTTTCATTTATAGGGGTGTTTTTCTATTAAAGCAGGTCCTAAAATGCTTTTGCTATTTTTCATGAGACGGAAAGTTTATTTGTATAGCACCCTTTCACAAGGCAACTCAAAGTGCAGAACAAAACAAGATAGAAACAAACCCACAAGGCATTCAAATAACAATAATAAATAATCACTGTGTATAGAAAAAGGTAAAACTATAATCTTTCAGTTGTGCGCACACTACAAACTGTTTTTAACCTGGATTTAAACATTCACGAAGATTGTTCCAGATTTTTTTTGCAGCAAGAATCTGAAATGCTGCCTCCCCGTGTTTGCAATTTGGTCCCTGGTCTCTTTGGTCTCAGGTTTCTCTCTGGTCTCTCTCTCTCTGGTTTCTCTCTCATCTCTCTCTAGTCTCTCTCTGGTTTCTCTTTCTCTCTCTCTCTTTCTGATCTCTCTCTAGTCTCTCTCTCTGGTTTCTCTCTCTCTCTTTCTCTGATCTTTCTCTCTGGTCTCGCTCTCCATCTGATCTCTCTCTCCGGTTTTTCTTTCTGGTCTCTCTCTGATCTTTATCTCCGGTTTTTCTTTCTGGTCTCTCTCTCTGATCTCTCTCTCTCTTTGATCTCTCTCTCTGGTCTTTCTCTCTGGAAATTCTCTCTGGTCTCTCAGCAGGATAACGAGGAGATTTTCATGGACTTAACCACTGAGAGGAATATTTGTGGAGTATAAATTCACAACATGCACAGATTTTTGCTCATTCTCAACAGCTGTTGTGTGCAATATAAGTTTGCTCCAATCTTAAGGAACATGAACACACATGCAACAGTGCTATTGCCACATGGTTCCTGTGCTATTCCCACATTGTTCTTGTGCTGTTCCCACATGGTTCTTGTGCTGTTCCCACATGGTTCCTGCGCTGTTCCCACATGGTTCCTGTGCTATTCCCACATTGTTCTTGTGCTGTTCCCACATGGTTCCTGCGCTGTTCCCACATGGTTCCTGTGCTATTCCCACATTGTTCTTGTGCTGTTCCCACATGGTTCCTGTGCTGTTCCTCAGATAAAGATCGACCGTGAGCTGCGCTCCGTGTACAAGCGCATGTTCGAGCCGCTGCACGTGCGCGAGGCGCTGTTCCAGCGGCTCACGGGGCAGTTCTGCACCATCCAGACCCTGAAGAAGGGACAGGCCTACGCCGTGGAGGACAAGACCTGTGTGGACGAGAGGCTCAGCATCCTGCTCAAGGGGAAGTAAGGACTCACCTTTATATGGGGCGCAAACACAGGGTCCAGGTCAAGGGGAAGAAAGAACCTCACAATGGGGCACAAACACAACTGACAACCGACAACTGACCAATCAGGAGCCTTCTGTCCTCGAAATCTGCTTTAGCAGCAAGTTACGCAAGACTTTGTTATTTTACATGATTTTCATTCATTTGGCTCCACATTCCAGCTCAGACTGTTCGAGTTAGCTCTAATCCGCCTCTTCTGCACGACTTGACGGCACGTGGGAGGCTGTAGGGGTGCGGAGAACGACCAAAGTTAGTGAAATGGGTGCTGCTCCTACTCCCACTAATGCTTGCTGTCATTATGTCCTTTTAAAATGTATAGAATTGACTTAGATACATGTTTTCCTCAGAGCTAAATTCAATTAAAGTGGATGGTTGTTTCAGTCCTCAGCTCTCCCTCTGGCCTGGAGCCTCAGTAGATTAACTTCTGAATGATTTGATTTTGTCTTTTACTTTGAAAGGATGAAAGTTTCATATCGGGGCCATTTCCTGCACAACATCTACACAAACGCCTTCATCGACTCTCCGGAGTTCAGGTCCACAGAGATGCACCGCGGCGAGAAGTTCCAGGTGCGTGCTCCTCTGCTTGATAAACACTGAATACGACAATACCAAATTCTTACATATGTTATCCTCATGAAGCTTGTTTGAGCTAGCTCTAATCCTCTCTGATCTCTCTATGGTCTCTCTTATCTCTCTATCTTTCTGGTCTTTCTCTGGTCTCTATCTTTGGTCTCTTTCTGATCTCTGTGGCCCCAACTCTGGTCTCTTTTTATTCTTTCTCTGGTCTCTCTCTCTGATCTCTTTCTCTCTCTGGCTTCTCTGGTTTCTCTCTCTGAGCTCTCCCTGGTTCAGACATTATCTCCCCCTTATAGACCAATGGCTCTATGCGTTCATTTACCACTGCAATCCTTGTGTTTTGCCATTTGCCGGGTTTCTCTGATCTGTGTTGTTAAATCAACAACTTTGTAAAGTCCTTCATGAAAACTGCTGCTGCTGGATTTAGGGATGTAGAAAAAATGTGTTAAATTGAATTGAAACCATTTGGTCTTGCCATGGTAAAGACCTGGTTCTCTCTGGATTAGACCTGGCTCAGACTTGGCCCTTGTGTGGTCTGGTCCTGGTCTCATCACTGTTCAGACCAGTGGCGGCTGGTGGAATTTTCTACTGGGGGGGCTATGAATATGATGACTAGATATATACCAGCAGTAAGTAAGTTTACACTGACTGTTGTGACTGAAGCCTCACACGAGAATGAAATATTTATCTTCCCAAACATAGCTAATTTGAGGGCATTTTGCATGTGGATACCAGTCTGCTCATGCTTCTTTGCCTTTTCTAAAAAGTGCTTCAGATCAGTCATACCTGTCTTGATCCATGCTGGGTCAGATCCTGATGTTTGAAACAAGAGGCATGGAAAGCAAAATAAAGCATTAGCCTCGCTACATGCTGCTAGCCAAGATTTGGCGCTGAACCAGGTCCTGGAAAAAGTACGAGTGTACCGTCTCCCCCTGTCGCTGGACTGCTGACTAATGGTAATATTTGGCTGATCAGGTCCAAGCTCTTTAACCTCAACCTTCTCCTGGTATGATCTTCTCTCAAACGGTATTGTTTTGAGTGATCTAACTGAATTATTCTTTTTCTCGTTCTCCATTTTGCGTCTCTTTACGTTCGTCTCAAACTCCCACAGCTTGACCTGTCAATCACTGTAAACGGACGTCACAGACAGTGACAGTACAGGTCGCGGGCGATCCCGCCCCCTCAGGGCGCACTTCTCCTGCGCCCCCAAATCGTCTTATCTCTTGCATTGAAGAGGAGCTACTGCGCATGTACAACTTTTAACGAGAGTCCATAGACGGCTCAGGGCACAATCTTTTGCGCCCTGAGGCGGAAATACGTCCTCAGTCCGACACAGACAACGCTGATGAGCTTAATCAATCCAACTCAGCATAAACTATAAAGTATTTCTTCCACATCTGAAATAAAACACACATAAATTTCGAAATATTTTAATGTTATTATTTTTTTTAACGTTTTATTCAAGGTAACATGGCAAGTTGTGAGTGGTGGGGCGGCGCCCTAGCGCCCTCTATTGGCCGGCCGCCACTGGTTCAGACCTGGTCCACACTTGGTTCTCTCTGGTTCAGACCTGGTCCACACCAGTTCCTTGTCCTCTCTCTGGTACAGGTGACCATCATGGCGGAGGAGAACTGTAAGTTCCTGTGCTGGTCCCGTGAGCGGCTGACATACTTCCTGGAGTCAGACTCGTTCTTAAACGAGGTGTTCCGGTACCTGATCGGCAAAGACATCACCAACAAACTCTACTCTCTGAACGACCCCACCCTCAGTGACAAGGTGACTGCGCTTTCTGTTCTCTCTCTTGTCTCACTCTGGTCTCTCTCTAGTCTCACTCTTGTCTCTCTCTGGTCTCTCCCTGGTCTCTCTCTGGTCTCTCTCTGGTCTTTCTCTAGTCTCTCTCTGGTCTCTCTCTAGTCTCTCTCTTGGCTCTCTCTGGTCTATCTCTGGTCTTTCTCTGGTCTCTCTCTGGTCTTTCTCTAGTCTCTCTCTTGGCTCTCTCTGGTCTATCTCTGGTCTTTCTCTGGTCTTTCTCTGGTCTCTCTCTGGTCTTTCTCTGGTCTCTCTCTGGTCTTTCTCTGGTCTTTCTCTGGTCTCTCTCTGGTCTTTCTCTGGTCTCTCTCTCTGGCCTCTTGCTCTCTGGTCTTTGGTCTCTCTTTTGTCTCTGTTTTCTCTTTGGTCTCTCTTTTGTCTCTGGTTTCTCTCTGGTCCCTCCCTCTCTCTTTTCTCTCTCTCTCTGGTCTCACTCTCTGGTCTAGCGTGCACTGCGCTGTGACTTTAGAAGACTTATTTTGAAAACGAGAAATTAGTATTGTGTGTGTATATTTTTTATACTATATTTGTATTTGTATTATATTATATTTGTATTTGTGTTGTAATTATGATGTGTGTATTGTGTTGTAAATACCATGTGTGTTGTGTTGTAGGCGGTGAAGCAGATGGACAGACAGCCCAGTCTGTGCTCGCAGCTCTCCATGATGCAGATGAGGAACAGTATGGCGAGTACCAGTGACACGGACGACGTTCTGCAGCAGATCCTGAGAGGAGGCTCCGGGGGGTCCTCTCTGCGTGAGTCACAAGTTACCGTTAACTACAGTTCTATGAGTCAGACACAAGTTACTGTAACTATAGATCTATGAGTCTGACACAAGTTACTGTAACTATAGATCTATGAGTCAGACACAAGTTACTGTAACTATAGTTCTATGAGTCAGACACAAGTTACTGTAACTATAGATCTATGAGTCAGACACAAGTTACTGTAACTATGGTTCTATGAGTCAGACACAAGTTACTGTAACTATGGTTCTATGAGTCAGACACAAGTTACTGTAACTATAGTTCTATGAGTCTGACACAAGTTACTGTAACTATAGTTCTATGAGTCAGACACAAGTTACTGTAACTATAGTTCTATGAGTCTGACACAAGTTACTGTAACTATAGATCTATGAGTCAGACACAAGTTACTGTAACTATGGTTCTATGAGTCTGACACAAGTTACTGTAACTATAGTTCTATGAGTCAGACACAAGTTACTGTAACTATAGTTCTATGAGTCTGACACAAGTTACTGTAACTATAGTTCTATGAGTCTGACACAAGTTACTGTAACTATAGTTCTATGAGTCAGACACAAGTTACTGTAACTATAGATCTATGAGTCTGACACAAGTTACTGTAACTATAGATCTATGAGTCTGACACAAGTTACTGTAACTATAGATCTATGAGTCTGACACAAGTTACTGTAACTATGGATCTATGAGTCTGACACAAGTTACTGTAACTATAGATCTATGAGTCTTACACAAGTTACTGTAACTATAGTTCTATGAGTCTGACACAAGTTACCGACTTGTCTGTGCGTAACCCTAAACCAGGGGTGCTCACACTTTTTCAGCATGCGAGCTACTTATAAAAGGATCAAGTCAAAATGATCTACCTACTACAAAAATGCAAATCATATATTACAAAAAATATTCTTTATATCTACAATGTATGTTTATGTACATGCAAAACCGCATGAGCCAATATAGCACATATAACAATATAACACAACACAATTATCTATGTACATTTTTTGTCATTTCCCGAGTTTACTCTGATGACTTGCACTGAATTGAATCGGCCAGGGATGCATAGTCCGGAAAATTGGTGGTAACTCGCTGACAAGTTTGTCGTGGTTTAGCTTTCCTGCACTGAGCGCGGTTGTTTGCGCATGTGCAGTCACCTAAGTGTCAGTAAAACATTACTGAGTAAAACACAGCTGTCATTTGACTGTGGTGCCATGTCCATGTGCCATGCCTGTTTTTTTTAAATCCAAATATTTCCCCTCCTCCGTTTATAAAATAATTTGCATCCACACATCTGCGTTATCAGTCACATTCGTAACATTCCAAACATGTGCGTCTCTTACGTCCTGTCCTGCGTTGGGGAAAAACACAGAAGTGGGCGGAGTTCTGATGCAGACGCCGGTAACGGCACTTTTACAGTCATAGAAGACACTCAGAGTAAAGAGTAAGACGTATGTTTACAAGCACTGACCCCGTCCTCAGCCCTGGTTTAGTCCTGGTTTAGTCCTGGTTTGGTTGTTTTCGAGCGTGAGTCCCCGCGATCACTTTGCTGCTCTCTGATGTGGAGGATGTTCGCTGCTGCGAGCATCTCACAGCGAACAGTTTTTAAGGTAGTATGATCCATGCTTCAGTGATCAGAGGAATTTAGGGGGGTACTGTGGCATGCAAGAACGCAAAACTCTGGTTATCTCTGTCTACACACAAATGCATTAACGGAGTTTTCAAAAATCTCCACTTTGCCCGGAGTTTTTTGTATATATTCGTTTAGAATGTGTAATTTTTTATTTATTTAATGCGATCTACCAATACTACCTTTGCGATTGACTGGTAGATCGCGATCGACGTATTGAGCACCCCTGCCCTAAACCTTTCAAAATTCATAACACTAATCTCTTATGTCATATGAGCTACGCTGCTCAACGCTATCATTATAAACACAATCATAACCACAAAAGCAGGTGTAAATACAGCAGGTATCAACATGGAGCAAACCCATAACAGCACTTGACGACATGGCGAGGACGACCACTGGTGATGACCCAAGGGTAAGACGAACCAAAGGGTAAGACGAACCCAAGGGTAAGGCAGATCTACTGTAAGGGTAAGGCAGATCCAAGGGTAAGGCTGACCCAAGAGAAAGGCTGACCCAAGGGTAAGGCTGACCCAAGGGAAAGGCTGACCCAAGGGTAAGGCAGATCCAAGGGTAAGGCTGACTAAGGGTAAGGCAGATCTAAGGGTAAGGCAGACCTAAGGGTAAGGCTGACCCAATGGTAAGGCAGATCCAAGGGAAAGGCTGACCCAAGGGAAAGGCTGACCCAAGGGAAAGGCTGACCCAAGGGTAAGGCAGATCCAAGGGTAAGGCTGACTAAGGGTAAGGCAGATCCAAGGGTAAGGCAGATCTACTGTAAGGGTAAGGCAGATCCAAGGGTAAGGCTGACCCAGGAGAAAGGCTGACCCAAGGGTAAGGCTGACCCAAGGGAAAGGCTGACCCAAGGGTAAGGCAGATCCAAGGGTAAGGCTGACTAAGGGTAAGGCAGATCCAAGGGTAAGGTTGACCCAAGGGTAAGGCTGACCCAATGGTAAGGCAGATCTATGGTTAACCACAGGTCGGGCCCTGTTGTTGAGGTCTTGAGAATATCTCAAGGGTTTAAAATCAGGACTTACAGTTTGTCCAGCAGGGTAAGAACAGGACGTCAGTGGGAAGTATCATCGCCCATTTACTTTTTATTACCATTAGACTCACCTCAAACACGTCTCGCATGAGCAGAAAGGCTCTCTCCATCTCAGGTCCATCACTGTGGAATAGTCTCAGTAATGTCTCCACTTTAGCAGACGGCTGCAGCGTGAAATATATAGAGATAAGTGGCGGTGGTGGAATTAGCTGCAGACTCCTGTGGGGATAAACGCTCGCACCCATGGGCTTCGCTAACGACACATTTCACTTGCAAACGTGACATTTCAGCCCCAGCTGTCAGGAAAATGAACTCTCCAGAGACTTTAAAAACACTGATGAAGAACAGTTTGAACTTTGCATTTAAAACCGCAGGGAATGAGCGCCGTTATTTCACAGACCCAGTAATTACAGACTTAACTAGATACTTGAGAATCTTATGAATACTTACTTTGGAATTTCATGTTTTAGAATGTGACAAAGATATGAATAAACATGTATTTTGGAATAAAAGTTGGAACAAGGATGAGCCGCAGTCCCATCTAGTGGTAGAATTGTTGTGACAATACATTTATTAGATTGCGTTCATGTTGTATAATTGTATTTCAGTATTTCAGATGATGCCAATGAGACTATAAGAAAGAAGCCATTTGTGGAAAAATTTCCATAATTCTTCTTATGCAAGACCAGAGAGAGAGACCAGAAAGAGAGACCAGTGAGAGAGACCAGAAAGTCCTTTCTACTGGCCAAGAGAAAATAAGTGTTTTTTTTTAACATGAACACATAGACATGTCTGACGAAGGGCCTCAGCCCGAAACGTTACAGCGTGGTATGTAAATAAAAAACACTGATTGGGAGCTACATAGCTGTGCAGATTTTTTTCACTGTTTTTTACATTTTGCAATTTTTTAATCCAGCACGCTAGCCCAGACTACAGGGATTTGAAAATGTTAAGAGAAAATTAGACCATAGTTAACATGAGCTGCTAAAATTCAAGTACTGATTCAAATGAGAGTTTGAGAGTATGATCTAAGAGGATGTATGGGGAAAAGTATGTGTTTTTCTGTGGAAGGGGTCAGGCTCTGGAATGGGTTGGAGGAAGATCTCAGGCGGTGCCCAACGCTTTACAAATTCAAGAAAATGTATAAAGAAAAAAAAGGTTTTACTAGAATATAGTGCCAATGAAGGGGTTTAAATTCTTAAGATGATTTGGAAATTAGTCAATCAGCTGCATTACACAGGTCAGGAAGTAATCCACCACAAACTCCACTAGATAGGGCAGCTGGGTGGGGGCTTTTTGATTGGGGGCATGTACCACTCTCAATGGGCCACTTTTCACCCTGATTCACCTTAATACACTACACTAAATAGGGAAAACTTTTAGAAAATGTCTAACATAAATACTGTTGTGGAATTTCTAAGGAGTGAAATACACAATAATAAATATAAAACAAACAAGAGCCGTAATTCAAACCAAAGTGTGGTTTATTATCTCAGTAAATGTACATATACAGGAAATACAGCCGTTACTCTACAACGGCTCACTCTCTCTTATATTTATAGGATGGAACAAACAGAAGAGTCTATCTATGGCGTCTCTGAGTCCGAGATTAAGTGGTAGCTGTAGCCCAAACCCCCCTCTCTTCTGACGTCTTACTCTGATGCGACTGATATTACTCTGATATTAGGAAGAATAATAAGATCTCAAGCTAGTATCTGGCCTCGCCGTCTCTACAGAACAACAGATTAGCTAGCTTGAACAGATTGACTAGCTTTGAACTTTGTCCCGGATATCCTAATTCATCATTAGATTCATTCTTAAGTTAAATTGATTTATAATCCCAGTTAGATTTCTACAACAATACCCATGTATAATTTATATTTTATTATTATATATACATTAAAAGATACTAAAAATAACAATAACAGTAACATAATAATAAAACATAAAATTATATACAACATACACGTACTCAAACATAAAACTCTACAACATTCTGTGACTAATGACTAACGGCAGGAGTGGCATCGGTGATTGTCTTCCTGTGGCACATGGAAGAAACTTTTTCCTTTTTCAGTTTATGATCAAATTTAATGTTTAATCAGTCATCAATCATTTTCGTCAGTTTGGTCTCTGTAGAAGTTAGTGTTTATTGTCCATTTAATGATAAACTCAAAGATTCGCTACAGTTCGGTAAATATTTTTTCTTGTTTTGAAGCTTTTTGTTGTATTTAAAAGTAATTAGTATTTTTGTTCATGAAAAAAAAGAATGTATTACATATATGTGTGTGTATGTATATGTTAAATATGTATGTGTGTTTGTACATGTAAGTATGATAAGAATTATCTCGGTGATGGGTGTTTTTGTAATCGGGGGAAGGCCTAGATAAGCTGTTCCAGCCTCTGCTAACTGCCTTTGGGGCTATTGTTTTCTTGTGCTTCTCTTTAAACCAAATAAACACTTGAATTGACAAAGAAGATGTGGAACGTTGATGTCAATCCGTTTCTATGGGGGATAACTGCTACAAAATTAAACTTTCCTACAACTCCGAGTCTGTTTTGGATGAGGAACAACGCTAGAACATCGTAAAAAAAACTTTTCCCAGACTGTTGCTTTGCTCCAGTTTTGAACAAGATGTAATTATTGTCCTCTGTCAAAGCTCAAACTACTCTGTCTTCACCATATTCACCGTGTAGGATGTGTTTCTCCATTGCCTCTTGAAAACCTCTCCAACTCCTGTCTCTTCATAAACTTTCATCTCTTTTATGCTAATAATACGATGCGCGGACTCTTTCAAAGGCTCCACGTGCGCCGCTGTGCCACTCCACGCGCTAAAGGCCACTTCACGATTTATTTTTACACAAAGACTAATTGGGAAAGTGGTGAAGCTCCTACACAAGCACCGGTGCAACGAGGGAATAGATCAGGAAACCACTTTTATCGCATTCATTTAGCATATTAAAACATCTGCAAATTATTCAAACAAGGATCTTACACAGTTTGACATCATTTAGCCTTTCCTTTTAGACCGTATTAGGAGTGGACTGACCGTCACCTCAGTGTTAGCCTTAATGCGGAAGAAACAGATGTGTTGCTAAGACGGTTGCTAAGGTGACCTGGAGTTTTCCCTGTGAATGAATCTTATTGGTTAATCCTTACACAGCACATATCTGGATTTACAAAGACAATATCACAATATAAACACCAAGATCATAGAGAGCACTAAACCACATGATTTAAGCTCAAAATAGTGAGTGTGACACAAACGGTTGGGTCATTCTCTGTAACCGGTGCCTTTTGTGTCCCAGAGGTTTAACGCAAAGATGAAAAAATAAAGTTACCAATACAATGAATTTTAACCAAGAAACAGAAAGAAACATGTGTATTTGCATAGAACACAAGAAAATATTTGAAAACAATACATTATTCACATTTTTATGAGTCGCTGAGTATCAGATGGCAGAGGAAAATGCATGTCCCCGGTGACCAAAGTTACTTTTCATCCAATCTAAAACATATATGGATTGCCATTTTCCCCATTTTTTCTGCTAATATAATCATTTACCTTCTGCTCTGACTAAAAGAAAAGAAAACTGAAAAGAATTCATGTTTTTTTTTCATGAAATGGTAATGTCCCCCAAGTTTGTTCAACTTCAAGCTCAACTTTTCAACTCTGTTACAGAGATAAACGATATTTAGATATTGTTGGGGAAGAATCAGACAACTGCGTGGGAAAGTAAATCAATTTCATGATTTCCAAATGTCATGTGGTACTAACATGTTTGCTAACATGGGAGATATGGCTACTTTTAGCTAGAATCTTCAACCCTGTAACATTCAACCCCGTAACAAAATGAATGGCAAATTCCTAGTAGTATTTGGTATTCCATGTCTAAGGTGGGAACAGTATTTTACCAGAGGTTCAAATACTCCTTTGTCAGATGCAATGTTCAGAAATGCAATAATTTGTGGGCATTTTTAAAAATTTTGAGGACCCAAAAGGCAGCCGTTACAGAGAATCACCCGGTTACTGAGCTAGTGGAGGTAACATTTCAAAATAAGTTCAAGAGCGAGCTGGAGCAAAACTTCGTCCATGAGCACTTTTTCCTCTATGTTACAACATTGTTCTTCATAGTAAAAAAAACCTGGATTTGTTTTTAGCTCCATCCACACACATATGTAGTCCCTCACTGAACTCTCTTTGTTGAATCTTTCCAATCAGAGCAGTGGAAATGTTGTCAGACTTGTTAAAGGAGTGATATGTGGAAAATGTGGCCAAAAGTGGTACTGCCCTCTCCCTGACTTCAACCTGAGTCAGAGAGAGAGCAGTACCACTTCTGGCCAGATTTGTAAATCTGTACAGATTTGTAAATCTGTACAAATCTGTACAGATTTGTACATCTTTAAAGTGATAGTCTGGAACGCTAAATTAACTACACATTTTAAGAATTGTATTAAATTGACCACATGGCCTTAAATGTTGACATAAAATAAGTCATTTTATGAATTATAATATTACGGGTCCCGCCTTCCCTTAGCTTAGCCATAGCTCAAAATCCACAATGCCGTCCACTTTAACCAAGGACTGTCAATCATTGCACTCGTGCTTGTATATAATGCAAATATCCATCCATCCATTTTCTACCCTTTAATCCATTTCTGGGTCAGGGGGGTGGCAGTCAGAGATGCCACCCAAGTCTCATAGCACCAGCCCCTCACTGACCCTCTGCAGGTGGTGAGTCCACAGGAGGACGGCTGCTCTCTGAGTGTGAGCATAGTATAATGCAAATATTTAAGTATATATATATATATATATATATATATATATATATATATATATATATATATATGTGTGTGTGTGTGTATAGCTGTAATGGGCATTATCTTTTTTTAAAATGATATATAAACCAGTTTGTTCCCAAATGTTTCGCCGTGACGTGACTAGACGGGTAACAGCAAGGCTTGCTAACTAACTAGAACTCTCTGGAACTACATGAAAACTGAACAAAGAATTCTGAACATCAGCGGTGAGTGACCCAAATATAGACTTAAACTAAATCCATAATCAGATCCTCTGCAAATGCGTCCAAAAATGTTCTACTAATGTTAATAGTTACTTCCGGGTTTACCGCTATCGCTTTTTGACGCATTAAAACCTTATTTTCATAAAAACGTTAGCAGATATTCAGATAATACTGAAAACCTCCGTGCACATCTGTTGAGAATGTATATGTATAATGTATTCTCTGACTAACTCTAATATAAATGTGGTGATTGATGGATATTTGTGTTTTTGTGCGTGGCTAGCTCCGATAGCTTCTCTCGCTCAGACAGAAGTAATAAGTAACAGGCACTGAAAGCCCGATGTGACAAAGTGTACAAACAACTGTCGGAGTAATCTTAGTGTTGTACACACCTGAAGTACAAGCACAGAGGGCAACAGAAAAGTAGGCGCGGCTTCCAGACCAATCAGAAAGGAAGGGGGAGGGAATTTCGGTCTTTTTTTTTTCAAATCATGTACCTCTCTCTCTTTTTGCTGACAAAGTCCAGACTATCACTTTAAACACATGTATTGTTTGCTAAATTAACCGTAGCCGTTTAAAGTGGATTCATTAAGTTTGTTCCATACCTCTTTTTTTGTTGTTTACAGAAAAGTCTCCCAGCACCAAAGCGTCCGCAAAGATGAAGCCGATTGCAGAAGGTCTGGAGGATGACGTGTTTGAGGAGAGTGCGAAAGCCAGCCGCCTGTCGAGTACGTCCACCGAGGAGGTCTGATCCAACCACCAACCAGCCAGCCACCGAGACCTATCAAGACTGTCTAACCACTGTCCAGTATGTCCACTCAGGAGGTCTGATCAAACCAACCAACCATCCAGTATCCGTTCAGAATGTCCAGTATTCCAATCACTGATCCATCAACCAACCACTGTCCAGATCCTTCTCTGAGGAGGGTCTGATCCAACCACCAGAAATCCAGCAAGACCCTCCAACCACTGTCCACTGGACGTTCTATCCACTGCTCCAACCACCACCCAATGAAGACCGTCCACTGAAGAAAAAGAGTCCACCACCAACTTCCCAACAATTCAACCACGCCGACTTTGCAACCACTGTCCAGAACCACCACTGAGGAGGTCTGAGTCCACCTCCAACCACCAACCAACAGGCCGCCGGTCTTACCCGAGCGGCACTGTTTAGGCAAAATATCTATTTTCCCTGTTCGGCAAATTTGAGTTGTTCAGCGCAGACAAACCACTACAGACATTTTTGGTGAAATGGACATAATGAACTAATGTAAAATCCTCAACATTTCAGAAAAAGAGATACAGTACCGTACATTTGCTAATTTAACAATCTTCAATTTTGGGTCAGTTTTAGATCAGTAAGCAGTAATCTAACACGGATAGAAGCGAGTGGCCATAGTTTTAACTTTCTCCCTTCTTTTGGACTGCGTGATGAGGCCGACCAATAGATTAATTTGTGAGGCAGAAAAGCTCTGTCCCACTGGAGGATGCTACAAACTCCCATCTGGGCCTCAAGCAAAATGTACAAAGGTGACAAATTGAAGCTAATTCTCACTCACTCTCATGTGGTTCCAAAGGTTTGGAGAGAACAGGAGCTATAATCCTGACAAGTCTGAATACAATACAAGTCTGAGTCTAAAAAGAGGCGGTTAGCTTCGAGTTCTTTACTCAGACAAGCTGGGGAGCCTAACTTTTTTTATTTCATTACTAATTTGTGTAGTTTGTCCAATTTAAAGTTTTTCCAAAGTATAGAGTCCAACCATTATATGCTGTCTTCATGTTATTAGAAAACACGTTATCTTTTGTGTAAGAAGGAGCCCTGTGAGTCACTATTTGACTCTTTGGGCTGAGAGCTGATTGGCTGAGGGAGGGGTGGTCCTCTCTAGTTCACTGTCTGACAAAGCTGACCCAAGGATGTGTTCAGAGGCCAACAATACATGCATGTGAAAACTAGTGATAGAAGCAAACTGTTTTAGATTCAGGGACTAGTGACATGGGTGTTACGACATAATTCTAATGTTGTGGTTTGAAAGTTAGGTACCCCAGCTTTAAATTATTGCAATTTACTGAAAGCGACTTTATTCAATCTTGCACATCACCCACTGCAGTCACCGATTCACTAAAAACCAGCTTTAGACTCAACACAGTGTGATTTCAATGTATATTTTGTGGTCAATTATTTTTTTTTATGTGGGAATTAAAACAAAATATTTTCCATAAACAAAAGGGAATCCCACTGTCTACGAAAGAGCTATGAATGAAGACTTCTCACTCTGGTCCAGGACAAGTCTGATCAGTGGAAAGGCAAGCCCAACTGTTGTTAGCATGTGTGTTTTTGTCTTGTTTAAGTGCAATAATAATGTACACTATAGTCACAGATCAGAATGATAATGATAGCTTTGTAAAGTCCAGTATCTATCTTGTCAGAGCCAGGACTTCTGTGGAGCTGAACATGGAGCAGCCCTGAAGCCCGTCCCGTCACCACAGATTGCGTCACACTCGTTTGTCGGCAGCTCGTGTGAAAATTTGTGTTGGATTTTTGTTATTTAAATAAAAAAGAAAATGTGTGGAGAAATATATGGCATAGTTTTTTAACACTATAGGACTCCCACAATAAGGAAACTACCAGAACTCCCAGAGCCGTCATTTTGACTGCTCCCATTCAAACCAATAGAATTCAGAGAAATTCTCCCAAAGATGTTAAGTTTTCCACTAGTTATTAAAAGTAAGAAATTGGTAAGGTTTTTCATGTTTTTTACCAATGCTAATGCTAATATCTGATGTGTTGCTATGGTAACCAGCAGTCGCTCTTTTAAGGTAGAACTACTCACATTTCAAAACTAAAAGATAATTTCATAAATATAATGGCAAAAATAAACTACAGAAAAAGAAAAAAGTGACAAAGTTCTAAAGACAAAACATGTACATCACTCTTCCTAAAACTCAAAGCCGTCATTTTGACTGCTCTCAAGTGGTAAGAGAAAGTTCTGACAAATTCTGCAAAGAGGCCTTCTCTCTAGCTTTCTTCATGTTCCTCATCTGTTGTTTTTAGCTCCTTCTAGCTACCCACTTCCAAATACGTCCCCCCACCCCTTTTGTCTGAATGTTGGTTACAAACTTGTTACATGAGCCTCATTCCCACTGCTCAAAAACATGGGAACAACACGGCCGATAACCCGCCTCGCAAACTTTAGTCTTTCGGATGAGGCGTGTTCAGTGGAGGCAATGTAATTTAGCAGTGATTTTAGACCAGGTCCAGATGGGGCCTTTCAGTGTGAAGTTGGCATGTTCTGTCTGTGTGGGTTTCCTCCGGGTGCTCCGGTTTTCTCCATCACTAAAAACATGTACAATCGGTAATATATGATGCTCGGAGGCTTTGATGGCATCTCGCTTCTGTCATCACTGTGTATTCAAAAAAATTGTTATTAATGTGACCAAGAAATGCGTTATAGAAATAAACATTTGTTACTCACGATAGAAGAAACCCGTTTTCCATTTTCAAACAAAAGGACGTTGTGGAGATTGGTGACCAGCAATCCAATTTCAGGAAGGAATCATTAAAATTCCCAGAGGAAGGGCTAACTGCTAGCCTAAATAAAAACATTTAAGATGTAACATTTGGCTTGACTTGACTTTATCTGGACTTGTATTGATTACACTGGGTAACAAAAAAATATTTTTTGAAAATAGTCCAGGGTTTTCCAGCTGAATTAGACTAATGTTGATGCTCTGAGTCCGAAAATGACCTTGGTTTTGCTCAATCAGGTCAGGATTTTTTGCTACAGAAATATTTTTTTAAATCGATTTTGCGTAAAAAACAAATTTCTGCGGATCATCAGCTGAGAAACCCTTGACGTTTTTTCCGTTTTCCTCAAGAAATAAAAGTCAACGTATCCAAAGTCATTCAGTTTTTATTTACTCCATCAAATTTGATAAGCAGAATTTATAATAACGTAGACGTACATAATCTATGGCTGTATCTCATAAAGTTGACCTGATAGAGCAAAATGCATGTGATATTCGGACTCAGAACACCAACATTAGTCTAAATCAGTTGAGAAACCCCTGACCATTTTTTGGCTGTCAACTCGTGTAACATGCACTTTAAATATATTTTCTTACTATTTCATTACTTGTCTGCACCACTTAACCAAGCAAATTCCCAGTGTGTAACTTCCTGCAATTTACAATGGTGCTAATAAGAATAGTAATAATAATATATCGGATTTATATAGCGCGTTTTTTCTAGACACTCAAAGACATTATTCATTCACTCCATAGACAGTGGTGATGAACTACACAGCTGCCCTGGGGCACACTGACAGAAGCGAGGCAACAAGTATGTGCCATCAGTAGTAGTAGTAGTAATCTTTATTTATATACCGCCTTTTCACTGCACATCGGAGTCTCAAAGCGGTTTACAATTGTTATTTTTGGGAGTGGGGGTGCCAGTACAGGAGGCACATGCCAGACCTATTGTACATATTTTTAGTGGTAGGGGAAACTGGAGCACCCGGAGGAAACCTACGCAGACACGGGGAGAACATTCAAACTCCACTCAGAAAGGCCCTGGTCCAACCGGGATTTGAACCCAGGACCTTCTTGCTGAGAGGCGAGAGTGCTATCCACTCAGCCACCGTGCCGCCCATCAGCCCCCCCACCACCAACCATTCACACACACACCACACACATTCTAGTATGGGTGAAGTGTCTTGCCCAAGGACACCATTACGGTTTGGAACTTTACAGCCGCAGCCGCCCCACTATGGCACCTCAGTATCACAGTCCTAACAGCGGAGTAATTTGCTTTTCAATGTAAGTCAATAGGAGCCAGAGCGAATTGGAGCCAAACTTCACCATGAGCACTTCTCTATTGAGCTTGTCCATCTATATACAGGCAATGGTTGTCACTCATAATGTGCTCTACAATGTCTCCCCCTTCTGGACATTTAAAACACAACATGACAAAATGCAGTGTTAATCCTCAGTCTATAAACATTCATCATAGCGTAACAAGTTTGAAAACAGAACATTGAGGCAGAAGGGATGGGGGGACGCGTTAGTGCTATCAGTTATAAGCTACAAGCAGGTCTGTTTTAGCTGAGATTATGAAGGAAACACAAACACTTTTCTCTCTCATGTCTGGGGTTGTGAGAAGCCATTTTTTGTCAAATAAATATGTTTTTCTCTAATCAGAAATCTCCATCCCCTAGTTCTAAATATTCTGTGTTTCTCTTTAACACCAATGACAGACTTCTGTGGTAGTGGGTTATTTTTGTTTTTGTTTTCTCGCAGGAGGGTCTAAGGACAGTGGTGATGATCCAGGATATTTGAGGACATTAATTAACATTTTTGGACATTGGTCATCTGTCTCTTATGGACTAAAGCTTATGTGTTTTTTTTAATCACTGCATTTCCTGTGTTTGAACGGTTGGATTGTCTGATCTGTGTTGGCAAATTGACAACTGTTGTGATTTAGGGATACACAAAAATAAATTGAATGAAATAGTTGTGGATAAGGTTCTTTCTCTCACTAGTCTCTCTGGTCTCTCTCTAGTCTCTCTCTGGTCTCTCTCTGGTCTCTCTCTGGTCTCTCTTTGGTCTCTCTCTAGTCTCTCTCTGGTCTCTCTCTGGTTTCTATTGGTCTTGTCTCTCTCTGGTCTCTCTCTGGTCTCTCTCTGGCCTCTATCTGTCTAATCTCTCTGGTCTCTCCCTGTCTCTCTTTGGGCTCTCTCTAGTCTCTCTCTGGTCTCTCTCTGGTCTCTCTTTGGTCTCTCTCTGGTCTCTCTCTGGTCTCTCTCTGGTCTCTCTTTGGTCTCTCTCTAGTCTCT